GCATATATGGTTCAAACATTAGAAAAAATCGAATTAGACAAACTTGTCTATTTCATAGCAATTCATCCAGCCTCTTAGATTAATTATAGTGATAATGTCTCATCATCTCATGTTTGGTTTAAGTATTAAGAAGTAACATACCCCACATTTATCTCATTCAATACTTTATTTTGATGAAGTATTGAATAATAGTATAAATATTAATTACTAAAAAATCTTCAAAATAAAGAGTGATATTTATATTCTAGAGATTTTTAAGTGTAAAAATGTTTTACTCAAATACATTTCAACCAGATTATTTAAACTCACCATTCTGATGGGTTTATTTAAGAGGTTGTAGGTGGTATTAAATATATTATTTATCTGGCCCGGTATTATTTCTATATGATAATATCGGGCTCAAAATATAAATTCAAACATAATTATAAGAGGGAGGGATAAGGTGACCCCAACATTTTTTTTTAATCACTCTATTTTAATACCTAAAACAAACACACCTGTAGCGTACATTAGTGAGGGACAAAAAATTGCATACTTCAATTATACACAACCAAGTCAAAGCAAAATTAGCAACATGTCAAGAGACAAGCTTGGTATTGTAAAAATCAGTATAAATTGAAGATTCAATTGTTCGAAAAATTGAAACTCAGTGACAAGTAACAAAATCAATTGAAAAGATATGTATATTGAAGCTCAACTTAACAAAGAAAAACAAAAAAATTTATTTGGAACCAGTTAATTATATGGATCAACCACTACAAGTTATATGTCTTAGAGTAACTTTAATTCAGCTCTCTAATGGCTAGTGAAAATATATCTAAATATTGTATTTTTTATTTTAATTAATTATTTTTACAAGTTTACTCTAACTACGCTTTTTATTTTAGTTAAATACTTCCCTCAACTTTCACTAATTTCTAAATAATTTAAATGAAATTACAACATATATATAGAGAGATAGAGAGAAAAAGTGGTAGAGAGAAAATTTGGAGAAGCTAAATGACTCTCTACATTTGAAAAGTTATTTTGGTGAAATGAGAAATAAAGAGTATGACAGAGGATAGGCTAGAAAGCGTTTTAAGTGTTTGTCTGGCTAAAAAAAAAATAAATAAAAAATAGATTGGAGTTGCTTTTATACAAACTCTTATATGTTTTTTTTTTTAATTTCCAAGGATATGTGGGATCCACCGTTATATTATCCTATTTAGGTACATGTTAACCTACTTTAGCTCACTACCCCCGAGCATATTCTTATGCTCCGTTTAATATGATAAAAAATGGAAGGATAAAAAGTTATAAGGATAAATAAAATATCATGTTTGGTAAGAAAGGAAAATAAGAAGGATGAAAAAGTGGATGAAATAACTTTCCTTCTAACTCACCAAAATCAATCCCTCCAAAATCGGAAGGAAAGTGGATGAAAAATTAATTATTTGTGTTGAGATGTATCTTATTTGTCTATATATTATGTATACATTAATTTCATATAAAAATACAATGATAAAATATATATTTATATATATAAATTAAAAATAAAAATTTTAAATTAAAAAAATATTTTTTTCATCATAACTAGGGGTGAAAATTTTCGATTGGATACGATGACACAACTCGAACTCGACATGAATTTTATGATACGAATTTGATTATAACTTGACACGAACTTAAAAATGACCTGACACGCAAACAAGAAATATAAAAGATTCATAATTTTATAACTCAACATGAATCTGACACGATACAACTCGATTGTCACCCTTAATATTAGAAAAAAAAATTAAAAAAAAAATTATTCATTTTTGTTTTCTATCTATCCAACCAAACATAAAGGAAGAAAATTGTATTATTCCTACTTTTCATCTTTGAAGGATAAAAAATATATCACTCCTATTTTTTATCCTTCTTATCAAACGAAACATTAAAGTTTTGAGTGAGTGACACGAGCATATGAGGAGCGTGGTTTTGTTTTGTCAATAACAATAATAAAACACAAAGCACAGCAAGGAGACAGAGAGTGATGAGACATGAGAGATATAAAGGAGTGGTCTGCTGCCTGCTGGGGGCACTGAGTCACTGAGTCCTAACTACTAAACGCGCCCACGATAGTTGCTGCCAAATTTCTGAGGGGTCCACTTACATTGACAACTCCCTCTCCCTCTCTGTATATATATTTACTAAGTTTTATGAATCTCTGTTGGCTGTGTCTGATATGAATTCTCAAGCCAGAACTGAATTGAAGATAACTGTATAACCATAAGACTTTCTTTTTCTGGAGAAATTGTACAAAAAGAATTGAATTTTAAAATATGAGTGTACATCCACCAGCCAACGAAGAACATCTCTAGCAAAAGTTCTTTTAGGTAGTTAAAAAACAATATTTTTTATTTTAATTATTTATTTTTTTAATACACACGATTTTTATATTTTTAACTATTCTTTTTAAATATTAATTTTTATTCTTTTTGTATTATTTTTTTTAGAATAGTAAAAGGGAGAAAGAGAGAGAATGAAAGAAAGAAGAAAGAGAAAGAAAATATTATATGTTTTTTTTACATATATAGAGTATTTTTAAATATTTTTATTTATTTTAAATCATCGGTTGTAGATGCTCTATAGAGAGTAATGCAAAGAGCTGTAATGGGTTGTTCATATTTTTGCAATTAATTTCTTTTAATGGGAAGCAAAAGCAGAATTGTTTGTATTCAATTTTAATTCCTCTCTCTCTCTCTGCATATGGTATTTATTAAATTTAATGAATCTCTGTTTGCTCTGTCTGATATGATTTCTCAAGTCATAACTGAATTGAAGATAACTATACAGCCATAAGAACTTGTTTTTTCTGGGTAAACAGGAAATTTTCAACACTTATTTTTCTGGGTAAACTGGAATTGTCTATACTGTTACAATTTATTTTTATTTTTATTTTTATTTTTATTTATTGGAAATAAAAGCAGTATTTGTTTGTGTAGTCTAAAGAAAAAAACAGTATTTGTTTGCATTGAATTTCAATGAAAACCTCCTTTTTTGTCCTGGTGGAGGGGCTCACACCTACAGTGAAAAACTATCAATTAAAAGAAGAAAAAGATAAAGCAAAGGCAAAGCAGAGAAGAGAAAGGAGTTGGGTGGGGGAGGTTGGGTTGTGTACTGTCTTAAGCCTGTCCCCGCCACTCAACACTGTCTACTCTAAAACAGTCTTTGAGTCCAAAAGAGCACCACCACATTGGCCTTTTTTGCCTTTTGTTTCTTTGCTTCCTAGGCAATTGTCTATGTCTGGCTGCTTCTTCTGCTCCCTCTTCTCAGAACTGCAAATGGGGTAGAGCAGGAATCACACTTTGAATTTCTTGTTAATATTTTGATACCCTCTCTTTTTCCTCTCGTCTTTTAGCCTTTTTCTTCTTCTGGGTATCCTTCCAAACATGACTTTCTCTCCTGTTCTTGCTTTAAGGACACCCCCCTTTAAATATTTGTTATACACGCCCATGATTTGACCTCATCCCTAATTTTCTAATGGTTTTTAGCTTTGTGGGAACTGTTCAAACACCACTTGATTACCCTCATCCCAACTTTGATTTGTTTTTCTCTCTGCTTTTGTTGGTGGGTTGGTTGTTTCGATTGTTTGTATAGGTGTTAGGCTGTTCCGAGGACACCACAAAACTGAGGTTGTCATGGAAATTGATCTAAATTATGCAGTGGGTGAGGTGGAGAAGAATTCAATTGCATGTAGCAATGGAGAATGTGACAAAGGTGGTTGCTGTGTTCATGGCTCTTTGTCCTCTTCTACCTCCTCATGCTCTTCAAATTCCTCCCAATCACATACCTCTTCCTCAATCTACACGGAGCTTTGGCATGCCTGTGCTGGGCCTCTCACCACTCTGCCCAAGAAAGGGAATGTGGTGGTCTACTTCCCTCAAGGTCACTTGGAGCAATCTGCCTCTGCCTGTCCATTTCCACCCATGGAAGTGCCCAATTTTGATCTGAAGCCCCAAATCTTCTGCAAGGTTACTAATGTTCAACTACTTGTAAGTATTGAAATAGGTTTTTTTTCCCAAAGTGAATTCCTTGTGATTTCTTGGTATTATTTCCCTCATTTTGCTTGTGCACTAAATTTCCTTTTCTTTGGACTCTGTCTTGATGTCTGTAATTTCTTGAAACAGGTTAATAAGGAAAATGATGAAGTCTATACACAGCTCACTCTGCTCCCTATATCAGAGGTTTGTAACCAATTAGTTCTACAGCTGCTTTGCATGTCAATCTTGTGTTTAGGAAACTGTGAGCTGAATTTGAGAATAAAGTCTACATCTTTACCCTTCTTTTAGTTTTTGGTTTCTGCATTTGGGGTTTCATTTTGGTTTCTTTCTTTTGTGTGTGTGTGTGTGTGTGTTTTTTTTTTTTTTTTTGGGGGGGGGGGGGTGTTTAGTGATTTCCATCCTTTTTTGAGTTTTAAGTTTCAGTTTTGATTATTATTTTATGTCTCTGCTAAAATATTCTTTTACCCTGTATGGTATCTGAAATTAATTTCTTATGATGTCATTTTTTGGTTTTTAATATAGGTGGTAGACTTAAAATCAGAGGGTAAAGAGTATGAGGTTGGTGTGGATGAGGAGGGGGGTGGGGTTACTCCCACAAAATCAACTGCTCAAATGTTCTGCAAAACACTTACAGCTTCCGATACCAGCACCCATGGTGGGTTTTCTGTTCCTCGAAGAGCTGCTGAGGATTGTTTCCCCCCTCTGGTATGGCTTTTGTGTTTGTTTGGTCTTTTCCTTTTATCCATTTTATTGATTTAATTTATGGAGTCTAGGCAAATTTTCCATTGATACTGTGATACATATCATAAATGTAGGATTATAAGGAGCAAAGGCCCTCTCAGGAGCTAGTTGCCAAAGACCTGCATGGTGTGGAATGGAGGTTTCGACACATTTATAGAGGTAGCTGATTGAAAGTTTATACTGTAATATAATTGACAACAAAATTTATACTGTTTTATGCTTACTTTACAGGCCAGCCAAGGCGACATTTGCTTACAACAGGATGGAGTAATTTTGTAAGCCAAAAGAATCTTGTTTCAGGGGATGCTGTGCTCTTCCTGAGGTATATATCTTTATGGAGAACTTGGAATTCTGAAAACAAATTGTGGACAGCATGTGCTGATGTTATTTAATTTATGAGTTGAAGGCACCAACTCAGAAGAAAGAAAAAGGGCACTATGAAGTAGAATCATCACCTAAGAACACCAAGACAAAATGTAGCCTAGAAAACGAATCAACTTCTTTCATTAAAATCTAAGAAGGTCCCTATGAGTAATAAGAAATATACTGATGTCATAGATCACCATATTCCAAAGCATAAACTGTAAGGACATTGAATGCTGAGGTGAAATGAAAAAGGAATTCAATTATGTCTACGCATCTAATATCTCTAGTTATTCCTTTCAGCTGATAATGTGAACTTCTTTATTCCATTTGTTGCGTTCTTTCTAGGGGTGAAGGTGGAGAACTGAGGTTGGGGATTAGAAGAGCTGCTCGGCCTAGACATGGGCTGCCTGATTCAATAATTAGAAACCAGAAATCTTATGCCAATGTACTTTCTCCAGTGGTTAATGCTATGTGTACCAAGAGTGTTTTTCATATTTCCTACTGCCCAAGGTACTACTACTACAACAATCTCCTCTTGCTTCTTCGAGGATCATAAATCAGCATATGGTTTGGCTTTTAGTACAACCATACTTCATTACCATGGCTCTAGTTGTTCATGATTAGCAGTGTTCCATGGGAGCAACTATAAATCTGGTTATATCATAGTCTCATGAAAAGGGCAACGCAGTGCAACTGCAAGAGGCTCCCACCTCTGCGGGGTCAGTAGAGATTCAGATATGTGCAGTCTTACCCCACATGCAAAGAAGCTGTTTTCATAAAATATAGTCTCCTGAAAGTTTAAAATATAATGCATAACTATGGATAGTTTTACTTATGAACTTGCATCTAGCTCCAAAAAATTGGCTTGAACTTCAGTCGATGACAATTGACAATAATTACTAAATGTTTTGCAAAAGTTGTAAGAAATGTATTTAGCGCATGGGATATTCAGTTAGAGGTATTGGAAATATTGTACAAAAGAGAGACAGACAATAATAAAGAAGATGGAAGAGTGGAAACGAAATAATGCATTCGAAAAGATTGGTTATTTGTTGAAGACTAGACACACACTCACGAAAAATGATGCCAGTAAAATGTCAACCGTGTTTTAATTTGGCCGCATTCATGGCAGTAAAAGTGCACTGGTGCAACGTAATGAGAATTGGCTGTGGCAGCTGTGGAATTTTTGTTTTCACAGTCAAACCTTAGCACTCATTAGTATACATATTTTTAGTGTTAATTTATTGTAAGTCAATGTTATGGATGGTTTCAGATTTTCTTGCACCTCTTTATATAAGGATTGACATTTATGTTCATAAGTCAGTACAAAATAACGTTGCCGAACATTTCTTTGCTTTCCTTTACTAGGATTGCGATTAAATTTAGAAATCATAACTAAAATTTAGTGTACTGTAAAACTCTCCAATACCAAAACAGGAAATTCTCTAGTCTATAAATAGATGTTCTCGTTTTTGAATGAGATAATAGATGTAAAAAGGGAACAAGTGAGTTCTGCTATGATTTTTGACATGCCCATCAAATTATGTGTTGTAATGAACCATAACAGCTATTTCAGCACTGTAACGGACTATAAAATGGACAATACGGGACTATAGTGGTTGATATTCTGTGATTTTTAGTGTTATGTTTGTCTACAACAACAATGCATCCCAGATATGGTGCTATGCAATGACAGTACATATCTATATGAAAAATGGGCTATCAACTGGGGGTGGGAGTAACCTCTCTCTATCCTAATAAACCTCTACAAACCCTTAGGAAGGTGGGATTTAACTACCAGTAAGATGACCTATATCTAGATTCTTTTCCATTATAAATGTTTTTCATGCTTAGTTTTTCTGTATGGTACCAAGTTATACGTGGTGAACAGTCACATAGTATTATGTTTTCTCTACTTAGGGAGATACATCTACTTAATTATTTGCTCTTTGTGCCTAATTGACTAGAATTCTTAAGAAGTCTTCAAAACATGTTACAACAAACCCTCAAAAAACATTGATATCTCTTTTAGCACCACACAGCCTCTTGCAATTCAATTTTTCTACCCACACCATTTATAGCATAATCATTCTACTGTTAGCACTGATCTAGAAAGACAGACTACTTTTAATTTTAGGATCTTTGAAAAATCAATGTCTAGATGAACAATTGCTGGCCTAGATTCTAGCTCATGGTGACCTAGATTTTGGCCCGTGGAACCTTCTTGTTCTCACAGTAAAGGTTCAAGACTCAAAAACCTGAAGGGAGCTTTACTTGGACTCTGGGACAAAGATTTCAGGATGTCGATCCATGGAACCATTGTATGCCAAATGAGGCCTCATCTTTCCACTGACTGTTAGATATCATTTGCTCAATGTTAGAGGCCATTCAATGACAATAAATTAAGCAACCAGGTAGAGAAGTGTACAAAAATATATAGCAGGGACCAAGTAAATACGGAGCAACTAGGAAGGACAACCACCGACAATGGTAAGGGAGTACCTTGGGCAATTGATGGGGGAGTACATATCAATTGGTTTGGAGAAGTCAGATACATGTTTCACTTATTATCTGTCTATATTTGTAGCTTTTTCCCTTATCAACTGTTTCCTATTTAGTCCAGTTCAGGTGTGTCACAAGCCATTATTACAAATATTACTACAGCAGCTACAGAAATGTAGAGTTTGAACAGCATCATTTTCCAGATCAGCAAAATTCTGCCGTTCCCGGCTTCATTCTACACAGTAATGGCTTTACTACAATCCTTTCCCAACCCGTTGTCGTACAATTCATGATTTTAAAAAGAAACTGTAGGTTCAACGTAGTTTTGAATCTAGAGAAAAGAATTCACTGTTTTCGAGTGTACTTAAGAATAGGGTCTTCTCAATGGAAGTACGGTTCTCAGTAACACAAACTAATTGGTGGTCGGTTTCTGTCCTTGAACTTTCATTTTGCCTCTGCACTTGTACAAATTCAAAGGCTTCTGGCTCCATCATTGGTTAACAATATGTCGGGGGACAAAATTTTTAAAGGGCTGATGTACGATTGGTTTTCTGTGTGTGGGACCCACTGCTGAGAAATGTGAATTCACTTAAAAGTATAATTTCAAATCTCATTATTTTAGTAATGTCAATGTCATCATGTAGTTTTATAGACCAAACTCATGTATAGTGGGGACATAAAGTTCACTAGCAGTAAAGATTCATGGACAAAAGCCTACTGGAAGCTTCTCAGATGTTAAATTGGGATGTATGTGATGGATATATTGCATGATATGTCTTGCTTATTAGTTTTAACCCAGACCATGTGGTGATTGTTGCCCAAGATGTGAGTTATGCAAAATACAAAGTCTTCTTTTAAGCCCTTTTCCTGAAATGTTTTCACTTGGATACGAGATTGGTTAGTTGAGTAGATCTCAGGTTATCTTTGATCTGATTATGTTGGTATGTTTTCCAGATCATGATGCAGACTTGCAGTTGTCCCATATTTCATATTCAGAAGTTGTGTATTTGATAAATCCATGTTACTGTGCTAGTTATCATATTTTGTGAGGTCATAGTTGTTGTTTTTGGATATATTGGATGTGAATCTACTTGTTACATTGGTTATCCATAGTTCGTACTTTTTATTTTTTTTACTCTACTGATTTGTAGAGATAAGGAATTTGTAACTCCTGGGAAAATTCTTAAATGCAGGGCCACCCACTCTGATTTTGTCGTACCCTACCAAAAGTATGTGAAAAACATCACCAATCAGCTACCCATTGGATCAAGATTCAAAATGAAACTCGATATGGATGATTCTCCAGAAAGAAGGTATTGAATATCTTGATTAAATAGTAAACCATTTTTTAATCCTTAAAATGATTTTTTTTCTAAGAATTATTTTGGTTTTCTTTTAGGTTCAGTGGTGTCGTAACTGGAATAGGTGATTTGGATCCATATAGATGGCCAAAGTCCAAATGGAGATGCTTGCTGGTAAACAATACATTTCCCTTGACATAATAGGGCTTCTGCAGCATAATGTTGTTATATCTTTTTCCACCATGAAGCTTTTATAGGACGGTGTGTTTATGATTCATCTTAACATACGAATCTTGCCTGCTTTATCTGGTGCCTAGATCCTTTTCCAAGAGCTTTTTTCTTCTGTTATGTTAGCGCTATATCCTTAATAGTAATTATGTGCATGTGATGATTGAGCATTTCATAATGTATACTTTTGTTTATACAACACTGGAATGCCTTGGAAACTGTTTGTCGATTAACTTTTTGTCAGGGAAGATGGAGAACTGTACTTCCTTATTCATAGCCTCTATTTAGGTGCTAACATTTCCAATGTCACAATTTTCAAAAATGCCTAAAATGTCCCACTGATTGTCTTCTATTTGACGGTAGATATTTCACACCGACAGACTGGTTTAAAACCTCCCACTAATTTTCATGCAGGCAACTGATGAAACTACTGGGATGCCTTTTGCCCATATTAGTTTAATTTCTGACCACAACCATCCTTTGCCCCATTCTCTTAAGTTTATGACTGTCCAGTGAATCACCCAATGTTTTGGTATTACAAGCACCCATATGTATCAATTTGGTCTAGGGTATATTTGTTCAAAAGCACACTGCTGCCATCACATTCAGATGTATTTACAATCTTGTGCTGTTTTTCTAAATAGAAGGAAATTTGGCATCGTATTTATGGAATAAGTTGTTTGAGATGATTGGTCAGTGTTGGGTTGCGCCACAATCTATTTCCTCAATTTTTTTTGTGGATTTTAAAGGCTTGGGGGGAAGTGGTAAGGGTATTCTTCTTTGGCAATGTGCGATTTTTGCAATTGTTTGGATTTTATGGTTGGAGAGAAATTCAAGAATCTTTGAGGATAAAGAGGAAGTGGTGGAAGGATTGTGGGAGTGGATATATTTCTTAGCTTCGTTTTGGATCTTGGTGACAAATGAATTTGAGAATATTCCTCCTTTTTGTATCACATCAAGTTGGATGGCCTCATGTAAAAGATAGTACGACTGTTTTGGATGATAGCCTGTGATGTCTTAATGGGCCTGATTTTGCTATTTTTTTTTGTTTTTATTTTGACTTTGCACGTTTTTGAGATGAACGACTTGTCCACCTTATGATTGGATATGTAATTTTTTTTTATAGTTTAATAAACGTTTCGTCTCTTATCAAAAATAAATAAATTAGGCACTCTACCTGATGATCATTTATTGTGACCTCAATATGAGCATGTAACAGGTCAGATGGGAAGAAGATATTGTAAGTGATCATCATGGACGGGTCTCACCATGGGAGATTGATCCTTCGGATTCTCTATCACCCTTGAGCATCCAGTCCTCGCCAAGGCTTAAGAAACTGCGGACAAATCTGCAGGCTACCCCACCCGACAACCCTGTTTCTGGTACATATATCCCTCGCAGATCACTAAATAAGTATTATTTTGTTTGTACACACAAGTTAATGCAGCTCAGGGTTCACTATACCAGGGCGAGTCGGGTTTTTGGACTTTGAGGAGTCTTTAAGATCCTCCAAGGTCTTGCAAGGTCAAGAAAATGTAGGTTTGGTGTCGCCTTTCTATGGAAGCAATAAGGTGAACCGGCCGCTGGATTTTGAGATGCAATCCATAGCACGTCAAAGTCTCGCATCAACTGGGAAAGAAGGGACAAATTTTAGCGAGTTGATAAGGAATCAGCCACCCGTCGCCACGTACACAGGCTTTGTGGAATCCGATAGGTTCCCAAAGGTCTTGCAAGGTCAAGAAATTTGCTCATTGAGATCCCTGACTGGGAAAACTGATTTCAACCTTGGTGCTTGGAGGAAATCTGATCTTGGTTGCAATTTTCTCAACACGTATCAAAGAGCCACACCCAATTTCTACCCACAAGGTTCTGAAGGTGTTAGAAACATGTTTATTCCTTATAATGATGTCTATCGTGCTGGCCAAGATCCTGTAATGTACTCCTTTATGAGCAACTTCCCAAGAGAAAAAGCTCCCTTCAACCCCTCTTCCATTCAAAATCGGGTTATTGCGAGGGATGAAGTGAGACAGCCAAATCTAACAAGCAAGCAGAGGCCACAAGAAATGATTTCTGCACCTCTCAATTCAGAGGCAAATTTCGAAAGTAAGAAAGATGATACCTTAAAAGGCATGATGAGTTGTTGTAAACTATTTGGATTTCCCTTGACTGAAGAAATTTCAAGTTCTAGTAAGAGGAGCTGCACGAAGGTAGGGATAAAGCTTTAATAACTGCACATGAATTCAATATGTTCTTTTCTTGACTGGCTCAATTATGTTTCATCCCTGGGTTAAAGGTTCACAAGCAAGGCAACTTGGTGGGAAGAGCCATCGATCTCTCAAAACTGAACGGTTATGATGACCTGCTTATTGAACTAGAGAGGCTCTTTAACATGGAAGGCCTCCTACGAGATCCTGCTAAAGGATGGCGAATCGTGTATACTGACAGTGAAAATGACCTGATGGTTGCTGGGGATGACCCATGGCAGTAAGTTTTTTTATCATGATCTGAGATTTTTTTAATTTTCTTTCCAGTTTAGTGCTTGAATCTAAGAAGCTGTATGAGATTAATGTTAAAGAAATGGATTTTATGTTAAATAAATGAGAGCTTAATGCTCTGAAGCAAATATCGAGTTTGGTAATCCTTCACGACATCTTGCAGCGACTTCTGTAATGTGGTGTCCAAGATCCATATATACACCCAGGAAGAAGTGGAACAAATGACAGCTCATGTTATCTTGGATGATACTCAAAGTTGTTTGGAAGAAGCACCACCGGTAATGGATGCATCGAAGTCTTCATCAGTGAGCCAGCCGGATTCTTCTCCAACAGTCATTAGGTTTTGAATCCCATGTTGGTTAAGTATTCTGTTGATGTCTTGTTATGTACCTACTTATCTCCTCTTGAACTGAGTACTATCCTTTTCTTGGTTCCTGTATTCTAAGTTTAGCAGTTGCACCCTGGGTTTGTTGGTGTAAGCCAGTACTTCAAACTTGTGTTGTCTGTTTATGAACATGTAGTTTGTATGACTAATGCCTTTTAGTTACATGTATTGTGCGTGGGGATGGTGGAGGATAGCCCATTCTTGTTATATATAACAGAAAAGAGAGAGGGTCTGGAGAAACCCTATGGTTTCGAATCCGAATGGCTCGGACATCTCTAGTTGTCGAGTTATCATCACCGATCGGCCGATATGATTTCGTAACATTGCAATATGACTTGAATCTCCCTGAATCTCCCGCCATATATCTCAGAAGAATTGATGGTTGATTTCGTAACCTTAAAACCATATCTACAATGTCTCTAGTCAACTGCCAAAGGCAGTGAGATTACTTTTAATGTTGCAGAAGTTTTACACAATCTAGTAACTTGGATATGGAAAGAGAACTAATATTCAGGGCATTTAAAAAATTGTGAATCCAAATACAAGATATTTAACCTTTCACTCCCTATAGAGCATTAATGGCAACCTATATTAGGAGTCTAAATAGAACTTATTGAAAACATAAAGACTTGATTCACTCCTTGCTCAGCCATTTGTTCCCTTGGTCCCCTTTCTCCCCAAGCTCACCGAGCTCGAACCCATGCCACCAGCGGCTTGGGATGGTTCCGGGACCAGCAAGCCATCATTGGGGCCTTGACTTGTTGACTCTTTGGGCTCGTCGTGTGTATTCTCTCATTGTTCTTTAATGAGCTCACGACCGATAATCATCCTTCTGATCTCACTGGTCCCAGCCCCAATCTCATACAATTTAGCGTCCCGAAGAAGACGACCAGTTGCATACTCATTTACATACCCATTGCCACCTAGACACTGAATAGCCTGCAACAAAAAACACAAACCCATAAAGAGAGATCCGTTAGACCCACGTTTGACGTATCTTTCTCTGATATTTCAATAGCAACAGTTTGTGCAGAGTATTTTAGTCAGAATAGTTGGCTAAGATAAAGGGGTATTGTTGGCTAAACATCTTGCATAAAGAATTTCAGCCAATAAAGCCATCTAAACAAGAATATAACTACTACACTTTTAACCTCAGAACTTCAGTTAAAACAACAGCAAAATTGGAGGGCAAGGTAGGATTTGCATAATGAAAGCCGACTGAGTATTCAGGCTTTGTTCGAGTTGAGTTTGTCTGCATGATCATTTTTTGAAATGCTCAACTTATGGGGGAAGAAGGATACTAATAGTGCATCAGGCATGGCATCAAAATTAAGCAGCAAAAATTTCATGACACGCAACAAAGAAACCTAAGTCCTATAAAGAAGACGCGAACTTGAGTGAACAGCTTCATATCACCTGAAGAGCAACTTGGGTAGCTCTTTCAGCCGCACAAAGTATAACTCCAGCACAATCCTGAAAAGTTAGAATTTAAAAGCAAGTTACAGGAACTGTTTTGGACTTGTTTACCCAATAATCAATTGAACATGAGTAACATAGAAGTGGATGTCTAGAACTCAGACAGCGGTAAGCAAACAAAAAATATAAAACCGATCAAATATTATGCAGAACCTTTGGATCAACTTTTCCGTTGTCACAGTCCCTTGCTACTGAGTAGACGTATGATCTGTGACTAAACTTTATTACTACCACAAAAAGAAGTCAATAAATTTACAATTTTAAAACTTGAAACCTCTTACCTTGAAGACTGTAAAGAAGTATATATGTCAGCAACCTTTCCCTGTTTTTGCAAGTCAACCAACAATGTAAGTGAGATTTTTCCCAGGGTCCCGAGGTAGGCAACACACAAAAAGATAGTATGCAATTTGCACAGAAGGTAAGGAAGAACCTGGATAAACTGAAACTCCCCAATAGGACGGCCAAACTGTTCTCGCTGTCGAACATAAGGAAGAACAACATCCAGACATGCTTGCATAAGTCCAAGGGGTCCAGCGGCCAAAACAAGCCTCTCCAAGTCTAGCCCCGACATCATGACATAAACTCCTGAATCAAAAAGACCAGCATAGAACGGAAGGGTATCAAGAATTCCATTGAAATTGTTAAGTTTGGAAGATTAACATAATAATATTAAAAACAATATTTTGGGAGAAACAGAGAGTGGTTAAAAACTTAACCTAGCCCTCATATATCACTTGTATTTATAGGTAACTCATAATCATAAGAATTAAACATACACACCCTCTTGTATTTACACATAATACCCTAACACTATTAACAATTTATATATACTACCCTAATACTCTTAACACTCCCCTTCAAGCTGAACTATATATATCATATAATCCAAGTTTGGAACAAATCTCTGTAAGACGTGTACAACTCAATGCTTTGGTGAACATATCTGCAAGCGGATCTTCAGATTTTACAAATGGAGTCATAATCTCCCCAGCTACTATCTTGCCCCGAATAAAGTGACAATCAACCTCAACATATTTGGTTCTCTCGTGAAACACCGGATTGACAGCGATATGGATAGCTGTCTGGTTGTCACAGAACAACAGTAAAGAAGGTTGAACTGGAAACCCATTTTCCTGAAGAAAGTGTAGCAGCCACGTCCACTCACTTATCGTATGCGTCATTGCCCTATATTCAGCCTCAGCACTGGATCTTACTACCACAGATTGTTTCTTACTTTTCTATGAGACAACGTTACCTCCTAAAAAAGTACAATAACCAGTGGTTGATCTCCGATCAGAAGGAGAACTAGCCCAATCAGCATCTGAGAAACCTTCCACTCTAAGATGTCCATTAGTTCGATATAACAGTCCAAGTCCAGGAGCTCGTTTAAGGATACCGTAAAATACGAGTGACTGCCTCCTAATGAGGTACTCTAGGACACCCCATAAACTGACTTACTATACTGACTGCATAGGAAATATCCGGTCGAGTAATCGTAAGATAATTAAGCTTCCCAACCAATCTGCGATACCGACCCGGGTTCTGAAACAGTGCACCATCATCCATCAATAGTTTCTGATTCGGATCCATAAGCACATCAATCGGTCTGCCTCCTAACAAACCTGCTTCCTCTAGCATATCAAGTACATATTTTCTCTGTGATAAATAAATACCCTGTTTAAATCGAGCCACTTCAATTCCTAAGAAATATCTGAGTTTTCTCAAATCCTTAGTATGAAATCGATCCTGCAAGAATATTTTTAACTTGACAATCCCATCAGAATCATTTCCAGTAATCACAATATCATCTACATAAACCACCAATAGAACATATCCAGCATCCGTCTGTCTATGGAACACATAATGGTCTGTCTGACATTGAAGAAGACCAAACTCTAAAACAGCATCTGAAAACTTACCAAACCATGCCCTGGGCGACTGCTTCAAACCATACAAAGATTTCTTTAACCGACATACACTCTTACCATACTCCCCCTGAGCAGAAAACTCAGGTGGCTGCTCCATGTAAACCTCTTCAACCAAGTTACCATGTAGGAAGACATTCTTGACGTCTAACTGAAACAAGGGTCAATCAAGATTAGCAGTCAAAGAAATTAAGATACGAACAGAGAAAATTTTGGCAACAGGAGAAAAAGTCTCCTCATAATCAACACCATAGGTCTGAGTAAATCCCTTTGCAACAAGCTAGGCTTTGAAACGCTCTACAGAACCTTCTGGATGAAATTTAACAGTATACACTCAACGACAACCAACAATTCGTTTACTAGGAGGTAAAGGAATAAGATCCCAAGTCCCATTATGATGTAAGGCATCCATCTCATCCTCCATAGCTTTCCTCCAACCCAGATCAGATAATGCATTCTGTAAATACTTAGGGATGGATATAGTAGATAATTGAGAGGTAAAATAAGAGAAGACAGGAGATAAAGCATCATATGAAACAAAATGGGTAATGTGATGATTAGTAACACACGAACGTGTACCTTTTCGAAAAATAATAGGTAAAGAGTCTAAATTACCTGATGAACCAGGATCAGAAAGCGGCAAGGAAGACGGTACGGACATCTCAGTCGATGGTCGAGGACGACGAGAATATACATGAAGAGGTAAAGTAGACGGTAATACAGTGGACAGCGGAATATCTGAGGATGATGGTGGTACAAGAGAAGACCCAAAGTCCAGATCCAAGGGTTGAAAAGGTGCTAGAAAATATGGAACAGATTCCTCAAATGTAACATTGGCACTAGTAAAGTATTGTCGCAGTGCAGGACTGTAACAACGATACCCCTTCTTTGTGCGGGAATAACCAAGAAATACACATTTGGTAGCGCGAGGATCAAGCTTATCAAACCCAGAACCCAAATTATGAACATAACAGATACATCCAAAAATCTTAGGAGGTAGAAAAAATAAGGGTTTATCAGAAAAAATGACAGAATATGAACTTTGTCTATTTAACACAAAAGATGGCATACGATTAATAAGGTGACAAGCAGTAAAAACAGCATCACTCCAAAAATATCGAGGAATATTCATCTAAAATAACAGGGCACGGGTGACTTCCAACAAATGACGGTTCTTGCGTTCAGCAACACCGTTCTGTGGAAATGTGTAAGCACAGGAAGTCTAATGAATAATGTCAATTTTACTAAGATAAGCTGAAAAAGGATCAGATTCATATTCTCGAGCATTATCAGAACATAAAATACGTATACGACATCCATACTGAGTTTTTATTTCCTTACGAAATATTTCAAATATAGAGAATAATTCAGACCGAGCTTTCATAAAAAACAACCAAGTCACACAATAATAGTCATCCACAAAAGTCACAAAATAAGGATATTTATTAGATGAAATATTCTTTATTGGACCCCATACATCAGAATGTACTAACTGAAATGGACTAGACACACGATTATTGACTCTAGACTGAAATGACACACGATGATGCTTTCTAAGTTGACAAGTTTCACAAGACAAAGACGACACACAACTAAGACTGGGAACTTGGCGTTTCAGATTCTGGAGAGAAGGATGTCCAAAACGACAATGCCATTGAAACTGAGACAACAAGGTTTGTAGAGCCCGAGTAGGTGAATCAAAATTAAAGTAATATAGGCCACCGGCTTCATGCCCGGTACCAATCTTCCTCTTTGTCTTGAGATCTTGAAAGACACAATAAGAAGGGTAAAAGGTTACAGAACAATTGAGAGAACGAGTGATCTTACTAATGAAAAATAAACTAAAAGGAAACTAAGGAACAAATAACACGGATAATAAGGATATATCAAGACTCAAGTGAATAGTCCCTAGACCTAAAACTTTAGAACAAGTGTCATTAGCAAGAGTAACACTATGTGTAAAAGTAGTAGACTGATAAGCAGAAAAAACATCAAACGCACCAGTCATGTGGTCAAAAGCGCCAGAGTCTATGATCCAAGGATTGAGGATGGAGGACAATAAACAAGTGAAAACAGTACCTGACTGGACAAAAGTAGCAATAGAGGGAGATGGAACAGCCTGTTGCTAGGACAAGAACTTAGCATACTCCTCTCAACCCAGTGTCTGGCGGGGCTGAGTAAGGTATGGAAGCAACAACCGAGGTATCATCCTGATAAGAAGCCTGATTAGCAGCACCCGAAGATTTTTCATATAAATCCCAACAGAAGTCAATAGTGTGTCTTGTACGACCGCAGTGAGAACAGGAATGGGATCCACTGCGACCTCCACGACCACCCGTACGACCTCCTCGACCACCACGTCCACCTCGATAACCATCACTATGGCTACTAGGAACCACAAGTGCTGATCGATCAATGGAGACACCATGATCAATGCCTGAAGGAGTAGACATTGTAACACACTGTAAACGAGAGAAAACCTCAAGCAATGATGGAAGATTAGAACCACCCAAAATCTGATAACGAATAGCTTCATATTCAGGTTTTAATCCTACCAAAAACCTAACAACATTCAGGTCCTAATGTTGCTTCTGTCAAACTGCTGCATCAGTAGTAAACGGATGGTAGGTCTCCATCTCCTCACAGACTCCCCGAACATGAGTGTAATAATATGCAAGGCTCTTAGTACCCTGCTCCAACCGGAAGTACTCCTTGCACACCTCATATGCACAGGACCTGTACCAGAATACAAAATGGTCAAGTGATCCCATATCTCCTTGGCAGTGTTAAAGTAGAGTAGAGTAGAACTAATACTAGGCTCAATGCAATTTAATAGTAAAGAAATAATTTGAGTGTCCTCTTACTCCCACTGATCATACCCAAGAGTATCTTCCTTGGGTTTAGAACTCACCAAATATTTCTTAAATCCTTTATCTCGAAGAAAGACTTGAACAGAACAAGACCATAAAGTATAATTGGTGTCATTGAGTTTAACAAAGGTCATGAGACCATTAATAAGAGTTGGAGGAGACAAAGATGGAGTAATGGACCTTGTGTCTTGCTTAGGTTCCATAATAAATGGACCTTGTATGCTGAACCAGAAGAAAAAGAGAGGCTGGACCGCTGAACTGGTCAAGATAGGAGGACTGGACTACTGAACCAGACTGAAAGGAGCTCCTGCACTGCTGAACCGGTCAAGATAGGAGGACTGGACTGCTAAACCAGACTGAAAGGAGCTCCTGGACTGCTGAACCGGACCGGATATGGGTGTTGGACCGTTGAACCGGACCGGATAGAGGCTCTGGACCGCTGAACCGGACCGAACAGAGGCTCTGGACCGTTGAACCGGACCGGATATGGGCTCTGGACCGTTGAACCGGACCGAATAGAGGCTCTGGACCGCTGAACCTGATTGAACCGGGTGCGCTGGACCGAATCTTGGGTTGAATCGTAGGTTGAACTTAAACTAATGGGCTTGACCCAATTTGATCCAACCCGTTGGATCTCTTTCTTCTTCGTAGGACCACAGCGACCACCACCCGTGTTCCCAGAGGCCTGATCTTCGACGGCGTCACACACCACACCACCATTGCGACCACCACAGTCAACTAAAAGCCCCGACAACACTACAATACCTCACCACCCGCAGAAGCCACAACACCACCGTAGAAGCCACCACACCACCACAATGTCTAAACTTCGACAGTGGCACCCCAACAGTAACACCACCAACTAAGGTAATTCTCCCAACACAAATTCACACTAAAATTTGTATTTAGGATCGCAATGCTTTGATACCATGTTAAGTTTGGAAGATTAACATAATAATATTAGAGACAATATTTTGGGAGAAACAGAGAGAGGTTAAAAACTTAACCTAACTCTAATACATCACTTGTATTTATAGGTAACTTATAATCATAAGAATTACACATACACACCCTCTTGTATTTACACATAATACCCTAACACTATTAACAATTTATATATATTACCCTACTACTCTTAACAGAAATCAAAAAGAGATGATATTGAAACCTCCACAAAAGTCTTTTAGAGATATAGTGATCTTCATCACTCTAAAACATGCCCAACCCCTCACCATCCTTCTTCTAAAAACCAACCATCACACCACAAAACAAAAACCCAAAGAAGGAGAAAAAAAATCTAATACAGAACGAGTTTCAATAACTGTTCAAACTAGTAATCAATTCAGGTTTAAATAAAGGGGGCCAATATCCTAACTACTGATTTCAATAACAAATAAAGAACCTTCAGATTTCGTTTGTAGTAGTAATCAAACCAAACAATGAACTCATTCTCAATATCATGTCACAGCACTCATGCAGTCTATGAAAATTAACAAATTAAAATTTTAAGGCAACCACAACTAGAGAGCAATTCATTTTGGTTGATGGGCTACCAAAACATACCGCTTGGGAACTCTCTCTATCTCTCCCTTATTTTTCCTTTTTATTTTTATATCTATTTACTCTTTTTTCATTCAATTAAAGTTTACAAACATCCCAAATATAAATTGAAATAGACCAGTGGTCCTGTCTGTTTTACAGCTTGATAAGAAAAACTGGAAGCAACTGCATGCTGCCCTTAAAAGCACAGATACTGAATATTGTTCTCATAATCTGATCTTTTATGCCACACAATTTTAAAAAAAAATAACTCAAGTATCTATTGGTACCTTTTCCTTCCTTCCCAAGAATATTTTCTTCAGGAACAAAGCAATTCTCAAAGACAAGCTCACATCTGCAATTTTGTTGATTATCCAATTGTCAGACCATCTACAATATAGAGAGAGGGCCGAATATAAAGAAAGTCAATAATCTTAGAGCAAAGCAGATATACGTATCACTTCCCCGCATCCCCAGTTTGTCTAACTTCTGGGCAGTACTGAACCTGCATTGTCACCCCGGAAATGGAGGAAAAAATGTGATTTAGAAAGCTCCAGGCACAAATAAGACCTCTTGTTCTATGCTTTTGTTTTCAAAAAAATTATTTGAGGTGGTAAGGGTGGGTAATGAATTTTTATCCAAACCACTTTTCAAGAAGAGATGAATTTATGGCATGCTCACTGCATCCAACTTTATTTAGGTATAGGTAGTCACTTCTTGCCTTTTATTCCATTTACTCATATTAGAAGGTGCATTACCCAGGCATTCCCTTCTCAATGATAAATGCTGTGATTCCTTTTGAGCCAGCAGCAATGTCCGTTTTCGCATAAACAACCTGATCCAATCCAAAAGTTCAATTCTGATAAATGAAACAGAATTTGCATAGAACAAGAACAAGAAGAAACATAACTCACTAAAGTGGAATAAGCTCCTCAGTTGTACACCCTAACATTATTGGATAAAGAACCACAATATAGAAAGATTAAGTGCCTTTTTTAAGTAAAAACTAACATTATCCCCGAGTAGAATTATAATAAGAGGTGTTTCTACTGCAAATGAATTCTCTTAATGTTTCAAAAAATCTTTCTACATGAAGAGTTAATAACCCATTCGTTTTCCCCTGGAAAGGATGGAATTTCTTTCTTTCCCTTCATGTCAGGTTGACATGTTCCTGCCATTATTATATTTGAAACTTCTGAAAGGATTGCTCAATGTAGTTTTTTACATTAAATTCCGAATAAGTTAAAAAATGTATCAATTTTGTGGTTGTTAGATACCACTTACTTAAAAGCTTGAGCACATGCTTGTTGCACGCGAAGAGGCCGACAACAAACAGACTGCAAAAATGGGGAACAAGTGCCAACAAAGAGAATTGAACCCAAGACCTTTCAGAATCAAAAGCTTAGGCTATCACGGAGTGGGCCGAAGACATTTACCAAGCTCCACAGTCCTTTCATTAAAAAAAATCACCTCTCACAAGACATGGGTTCTGATACATGGCAACCAGCAGATATGCTATCGTATGGGTTCCACTGAAAGCTCCATCTCACTTGCATAAGGAAAATAATAATGCAGCTTCCTGTAACATGATTAAATTTATATCCGCTGCTTTCAAACTAAGATAATCAACCAATGAGCACTCAGAATGAACACCCTTTTGAGATTCTAAAGGCTTTTAATGACCTTGCATCCCAGCCTAAGCATCACAAAAGTATTTTCCTAGGCATTCTACGCAATGCTCTCTCTCTCTTTCTCTTCCCCCCCCCCCCCTCCCTCCCAAAAACACACACACACTCAAACAAATGTCTTGCAATGGAGCCATATCTTCCCTTTTTTTTTTTAATCAGCAATGGAGCCATATCAATAATAGCTTGAAATATTCAGAAAGACAAATAGCATGCAATACAAGTTGAATGTTGGCACCATTACAATTCAAAATGGGTTCTGTTTCTGGATGTTCATACTCATTTATGCTTTAATTTTTAAAACGCAAGTCACTATAGAGTTTTGGAAGGGTTCAAGCTCCCTTCCCCCTTCCTCCTCTCCCCCCCCCCCCGCTCTACCAAAAAAAACTAGAGTTTTGGAATGTTATATCGTTGATGGTAGAAAAAATAACACCTCAAAAAAAGATCACAACTTACATAAATCGAAAACAAAAAAGTAAAGTACAACCATGCGGACTGAAAACAGCAATTCTCGAGATTATACCAGAGTCTGAGCAGTTGGGCCATTGGTGCACCACATCTTATTTCCGTTTATAATGTAACCACCATCAACACGATCAGCTTTGCACTTCATACTAACAACATCCGAGCCAGCTAAACAAACAAATTAAGTAAATTTCAGGATACACAGAATCCCATAAACTGCGCAATCTGGGAAAATGAACACAACTTCACATGAATTACCATTGGGTTCACTCATTGCAAGAGCTCCAACATGCTCCCCACAGATTAGCTTCGCACCATGATATAGGCAGGATTAGTCAGTATATTTTATAAATATCCATGGTAAAATGCGATGACACAAAGGGAAAATGAGTCGAATGCACAATGTTACTTTCGGGATCAAATCTTTTGCCTTCCTCTAAACACGCAGTTGTTAATTACAGTTAGTATTCATGTGATATTCAATTCGCAGAAAAGTGAGGTAGAATCAAATAAGACCAGGAAAAAGGTTGTAAAACAAATTAGCATAAGCATTAAACTTGGCTGAACACACTTGAGATTCATCAAATGAACCATACCCAATTACACCATGCGTTGACAAGTCACCTGAACTGAAATATACTGATAAACAAACTATAGCTGAACTGAAACGAAAAAACCGGGAAATTCAACTAGGTGAGAGACTCGGCCCACCAATCACCCAAGGCCCAAGTATAATACTATGTTAGAGCATTCGACCCAAAACTAATTGCTGATGAGTAGAATGGCCCCTCAAGAATATGAATCAACATTGGTCTAATTAATTTTTTTGATGTGGGATAGTCCTATTGACAAAGAAAACCAAATGTAGCAGACGACAAGTAACAGAACCAGAAACTGCGGGTGGGAATAGATTCACAGTCGGTATTGATAATTCTTGAGTTTATACCTGCCTCGCTTTCTTATGCAAGTGGTCTAATTATGTTGCAAAGGAGAATGATTTTTGTGGGCTGGGAGCCACCAAGCTATCTGTCAAAAATTCATGTTCTGATGATTCACTATGTAGATCAAACAAGAAGGGGGACAACAGAACTCTAAGTAACTGCTAAGAAAAGCTACTTTTTGGAGCCACGTCAAACTATGACCAGGGCATCCATGTTATCAAGCGCAAAGCTATAGGAGTTATGCTTGTGAAGAAAACACAGAATAGGATAACTTCTGGTCTAGTGGTGTTCAAAGGTGGTCATTTGTGGTGGTCAAATGCAACATGAAAATTCATGGAATCTGTGGTATTAATTAAAGACATTAGGGCTAAGTAAGAGCTTTAAGATAACAAAGTTTCGACATATTTTATAGCGGCTTTTTTCGCAAATGATGATAGATATTAGCTGCATCTGGTATCAGGCTACTCCTAGGCAACCTACTGTTAACTTATTCCAGCTGTTGTGGAGTGATGCATTCCCATGGCAGAGTTCGGTTTTCTCAAAATAAATTACACTCTAGTTTACCATCAAGAAAGACTGTTAAATCCCACTGTGAACTGGACAACAGCAATTTCATTCTAAACAAAAAGAACAGTTCATGACATGATTCATTGATCTACTTCTAGAGTTAAGTGACCCATCACAAAACAGTATTAATACTTGGGGCAACAAAAAGGGGGGCAAAAGAAGAGCAGAAAAGAAAAGACAGAAGCAAAACCTTTGGCAAGTATTTCTGCTTCTGGGTAGGGTTCCCATTCCTCACCTACAAAACCATCAAAATAAGGTTAAAAATTCTTAGGCCATATCTGTTAATAACCAATATCAGAAACCAGAGTTGTATCAGTTACCAATTGATTAATGCATAGGTTAGAGTGGGCACCATATGAAAGGCCAACTGATCCTGAAGCATGACTAATTTCTTCCATAGCTATGCAGTGATATAAATAACCAAGGCCAAGTCCTCCATATTCCTCTGTAAAAGAAGAATGTGTTAGGACAAAGGAATCTGTGTCAAACATATCCAAGCGCACTGAATTCCAAAAAAGGTTCTGTTCAAAAATGACTTTCTTTTAAGAGCAATGAAATTCCAGTAATTTTATTTCTACAGCTCATTCGTTTACTCTTGGGTGCCTTAACGGCCTTTGATATGCTAATTTGTGGACTCGTGACATGGTAGATTCCTTTCCATAAGCAAATAAATTTTTTTTAAAGGGTTCTTTAATTTCCTTGGGCTATAGCCCCCCGATTAAGCCAAAGTATTACATCTATTGAAGCACACTCCAACAGATTTTTAATTCAACTCAATGGCTTTTATAAACTTCTAGTAAACGCCAAAATTTCTGCAGAATCACAGCATCAGAATCATAAGAGGAAAAGGAAAATAAAAGAACCGATCTCTGTATGGAAATAATATTCCAATCTCAAGGATTTATCTTTCCTTTCCAAAAACATTCTCAGCAATAAAACAGGGCAACAAACAATGAGAAGTCCTATGCAAGCTGTTACCACACCAATTCTACCTGGAGCAGTGATCCCCAGGAGATTAAAATCCCCCATTAGTTTCCATAAGTTAGTTCCCTGTAAAGAACAGAAAGCTAAAGGGTCATATTCTGGGAAAATGGAATCAAGCTTTCCAGAAAGCAAGAATTATCGTCTCATACAACCTCGGGAAAATAATTTGTTCTGTCTATTTTTGATGCATGAGGGGCAATATTTTCTCGGGCAAACTGTGACACACTTTCTTTGAACTGTAACATTGTAAAAGAACTGTCAGAGGCTGGCAAAAGGCAAAATGATCCACTATGGTAAGAAATTGGTCAACATTTTCTTAGGGTACATAAGCACAATATATTTATACCATAGAACTAGAGCTTCAAATTCTACCCTAAGTTAAAAGAGCCTAATTTACATTTGGCAATGAAGTAAACCTTTGTCATTCATAAGATGTTTCAGAAAGAAAGGAAATCAATATCGAAAAAAACAGTTATCATTCCAAATGCATGGCTGCATCAAGGACTTCTAAAATGGCATATAGAGCTTTATGAATTGCATGCGTATATCTTTATTGTAAGGTATCACCGGTAATGAGAAACCACTCTCACACTGCTATTAGTGCCAAACATAGATGCACACTGCACACACAATATGCAGCCATCTGTTTACATAATAGTGCATATGATTCAACAATTCGCACAATAGAGGGCAACTGTGTGAATAATGTAGCTCACCCACAAAAACCGCCCAAGTACACAACACGTGGAAAGTTCAAGTCCTGCGCAGATTTAAAATGTATACAGGATTGCAAGGTTGTTGCATCAACATCGACAATAGGTCGTTTAGTTTTATCATGGACTCTCAATGTCAGACAAGCCTAAAGATCAGCTAATTGAAATTAGCACCAAAACCATGCCTCGTGTTTATCTTAACATGCTCTGCTGAAAACAAATGGAGAATATGTTTTTGAAGAGCATAACTACCAAATAAATTTTGACCATTTTTACCAAACATCAGTGTATACAACACCGGTCCTTTTGGCCCTGGATAACGCAATATTTCTACACAATTATAGAAAAAGATTTTGCTTTTTTCTATGGGTTTGCTCCCTTCTCCAGAGCATGACCACATGTATAGTAGTACATATATGTGCATATCTTAACTATTATATCTGCATTAAGATGCTTTGAAAAATCGTCCTCAAAGTAGGATATAAGTTCCCGCCGATACATTACTTCTAAATTTCCCACAATGCTAAATCAACAGAAGCTGTCGTTTATAAGTGAGCCATCACTTCACTTAGCATTTGATTTTAGGCAGTAACCCCCCCCCCCCCCCCCCCCCAAAAAAAAAAGATTGCATGCTTACTTATTCTACATACTTTTAAGATGTACATCAAAAAGACATCCTTTTAAAACGTAACTCAACTTTTGTGTTGATTATAAGAATCAGAATGTTCAAGCTTGCACCAGGCTAAAGAAAAACTTCAATGAACACCACGGACAGAGCCACCATGTGGCCAAGGGGGTCCACCCCCCCCCCCAACCCACAAAAAACAAAAAAATTGTATATCTCTTAAAGTATTTAAGATATCTAATGGATTTTCAAAAATTCTTACATATGTAGTGTTCTTCATCTAGTATATGAAAAGGCTCACTGGCCATACATTTGTTAACCAAAACAGGGATGTTTTTCTATGATATAATGAGTGTTACCCTTACAAACGTACTAGAATGAGTTTGATGACCTAGAGAATAAAATGTTGATTTATTCATAGTTATTACATCATGTCACAAATGAGAGAATAGTGGATCACGATGTCACCACGCGATATCACCACAAATAATCAGTTTTTGAATTTAATGATTTAAACTAATTTTCACAAAGTTGATTTTGATAACTTCCATACAACTAATTAATGCCATTGTTAGATGACCCTATTGAATGAAATTTCTTATTGTGCTACTATTTGGCCTAAAATGGACGACCACCCCCCAATTATGAGTACTAAATTTAACCATTCACTGTCCATATAGCAAAGAAAATAGTCAGACAGACACACCCAGAAACTGAATCTTAGAAACATAATTTCATTAACCATATACTCAAAACAGTATAATCAGAATTCAATTAACCTCTGATAACCCATAATACGCGTGTATTGAGTATATCTATAAAGAAACCTGGATCTGGGTATCATCGAAAAGTAGAGAAGTTGAAAAAGCAGCTCTCTGTGTTTCCTTTCTGAATAATGCAGAGGTTAAGGACCTCACTGCGAAAAATCTCTGCATCGATTCTGATATTCAGTGAGAGAAACTGAAGGACTACAACAATCTGCAAGTGAAAACTATTGAGAGAGAAGATAATCAACAACTTGTGCTGATCAAATTTATAGCCAAAATAAATGCATGCCTTGGACGCAAACGAAAGCACAAAGCTGCCAAACCCAAACGAAGAGTCTTTGTGGTTTTTATCTGCATAAATTAATATTAAGATTAATTACACTTTACACCTTAAATTATGAGATTTGTGCCACTTTATTCCTCAATCATTATATTTTTTACATTGTATCTTCAACTATAGTTTATTAATTTGGCACTTTCCCCTCCAGGGACATGCTTTAAACCCTTGATTATCCAGCCCCAAACAATTTTAATTATTTAAAAATTATAATTACGTCACTTTATCCCTTAATTATATAATTTTGTTTCACTTTATTTAACACATTCAATTCAATAAAATAAAAAAATCTTGACACATTTTTGTGAAAAAGATAACTGTCGTTTATATCTTGGGCAATGTGATATTACTTTTAAATAGTTGAGTGAATAATATGATAAATTCAATAATGTAAGGAGTGAAGTGAGATGAAGGCCATAGTATAGCGTGTAAAGTGTAATTAAAGTTTAAATAGCATGTCCTTTCTTGTTTTTTCCCCGATTATGGGTCTCGTGGATTTCCAGCTGAATCAGTCGGTAGTTATCCCCAACCCCATCACATGGTGCCTTCTTAAACTAATATTCTTTCATGGCGTTGTCATCCAGAAAATAGCAGATCATTATTATGGTGTAGTATAATTGTTCAATAAGCGTATAGCAAGTAAAAAATGATTTCACATATAATTATAATTACTTTTTAATGTTTTTTGATAGCCACCAAATGCCTGAAAATAATTACTAAGTGGGTTTTATTTTATTCACTTGTAAATTTATTATTGAAATATGAAATTACGTGACAATGATTATGTGATATCAATGTTATACCAAATATTTACTCGGTATCATGCAGTGTTACCATTTAATAAGAAACTTGTAAGTGAATAAGGGTGAATCCTCATACTTTGAGTGGTTACCAAATGACGTGAAGAGGTGGTTATTAAAATATATGTAATTCACTTATTTATTTTTTATGTTCTTATTAGATAACGTGATATCACCGTGATACCCAATATTTACTCAATGGTCTCTATGGATCAAACTCACTAGGATCACTCTCAAATTTAACCTCGCATCCTCTAAGGTGGTATTTGGATCACCGTGAAAGGATTAGATTTAAATTCGAACACAATCTTACCCAATGCAGAGTGGTCCCAATTGAAAGATTATAAGGATAAAATTCAAATCCTATTCCATATTTGGATAGGTTTCATTTGATTTATGGGGCCTATTCACATGTGATGGTATAACATACTAAAATAACTATTTTACCCTTACATAAAAAAAATGTTATTTAATTTTATACCCTGTTTGTCGTATAATGAAAAAAAGTTCAATTCATTAGTATTATCTTATTTACAAAAAAAAATATAAATGAATAAATTACATACTTTTACAAAAGATTGCAATAAATATTTTGTTCATTTATTTAATTTAATTTTTACAATATACTTTTAATCACAAAAATTATCGTATTAATAACGTGCTAGTGTTTATTACCATTCTTTGAAAAATACGAAGTCAATTTTTTTTTTTTGATGTTGGCTTGGTCGGTGATGAGTTGCTAGCTAGTTCTTGGAGTCAAATTCCAACCCGAGAAAAAGAAAAAAAAATCGAAAACTAGCCCAAACCACCAATTATTCTCCATTAAACTCAGCTCCAGTGCAATCACACATACCCTCTCCATCCTCCATGCAAGTGCCTGCTGGGAACCGGTGGCTGTCAGACGATCTTCCACAAAGCAGCCGAAGCCAAAGGCTAGGGATCTCAATAAGATAGAGGGATGAGTCTGGAGGAGAAGCAAAAGCTGGGAAAGGCCCTTGCCATTGGGTTGAACTAGTGGTTTCACCAACATTAACAAGAAGTATGTAGGAAAAAAAAAAGAGAGAGACAAAGAAAGATCTGTAAACATTAACAAGCATCCATCCCCAGATCGCAATGAAGATGATATATATTCTTCATGGCGAGTTTTTTTTTTTCTTTGGTCAGGTTCTTGGAGAGTTTAATACGACACACATTAGACATATATAACAGAGAAAGAGACAGAGAGAAGCAAACCGCTGTTCACACGAGAGCTGCACCGTTCACGGAACCAGAGGAAAGTGAAAGTAAAATGGGGACAAAAACCCTAAATTAGTTACTGTAGAGGGTATTTTAGTTATTTCACAATAATCCTACCATTGCACTTCACAATCCCAAACTTCACCTGGGATACAAGAATCCGGCCGAGAGAGGATTAAGGCCTTGAAAAGCTACGGCCCGAGTTTTTCAAGAACGACGAATATCCCATCCAAAAAATTTAGCCAAGTTAAGGACTCGTGGGCCCTTTACAATTTTAACTCAATACTCCTGGTAATCCCACGAATTTTGTGATCCAAACACCACCTAATATATTAACTCTTTAAATTTTTTATAAATTATTTATCATGCATTTAAAACAAAACTCATTATTCCATATAACTGAGTCTCTTAACGATAAATAATCCAAAAAAAAATAAATAGAGAAAATAGGATTATATTTTGATCTAACAGGACAAATTTCATCTCAAATATTTTTTTGCTGTTTAAAAAAATACTATTATTATTTTCACTTCAATCAACACATTTTCTAATGTCAGATAAAATCGACTAATTCACACTTATCTCTCTTTTATTTTATTTTTATTCATTTTAATTTTAAATTACATGATTAATTAGAGAAAAATAAATATTTTTTATTGTAGTATATTAATACAGCATCACTTAAATTTCGATACAACACCATCTATTGATTGACTGTTAAACAGATATTAAAAAATAAAATACAAGGGCTTTTTTGTAATTTCACTCTTTTCCATTCCCCTAGATAAATTGTTTTCTTCCATTCCTTTTTACTATTCTCCTCCACCCGTACCAAACAGAGGCTAAGAGCACACTCTCGTAAAACACACTCAAAAAGGGGGAAGAGATTGAATTTCAAAGCCAGGAAGTGACTCGAGAGCTGCACAGAGTTCGTTGCGAGCACCTCGTCGATGGCGGCCTAGAGACGACCTTTTTCACCGTCTAATCGAACGAAACACTAGTCCTCAAGCATGGATGGTGTAGGAGGAGGAGGAAGAAGAGACCAGGGCTCCCCTCCACCGATGCCGTGCAAGTTCGCGGTGTATCAGAACCCAACCCTCTCCGCTGCCCTAACCTCCAACAGCCTCCGACCTTCCAAGTCCACTTTCCTCTTCATTCTCTCTTTCTCTTGTGCTTCCGCCTTCTCTCTCATCAGCATCATCGCCAGGTAAGAACGCATGTACTTTTCGCACATGATGTATGTGTCTCTTTATATTTGTCTATACTTGTAGAGAAGTGTATGTGAATACGAGCGTCTGTATGTAATTTTATATATATGACAGCCATGTATTTTTGTGCTGACATTGTAACTGGATTAGAGGCACTATGGTTTGTATTTAGTTGTTAAAATTGTCAGTCTTCTGGTTTTTTGAGTTGAGTGTAAAATGTGTGACTTGTAGACATGTATGCTCTAGCTCAATTCGAGAAACTAGGGTTTTGTTGAACTCTAACAGGCCTCGTTGATTTTGTTCTATCAAGTTGAATTTAGGTGAGATGGTAACAGTTTTGCTGATTTTTAATCTTGTAAAGTTCTTTTCAAATGCCTATGGGTGCTTATTTTAGTTCAGTTATTAAAAAATACCAGAGAGCTGAGGAAAACTACTCATGATGAACTGCTAATTAAATACGGGCTTTAATGCTGTGTTTGGCATTGGGGATCTGGTATTGTGATTGGAATTGAAGGGAAACTTGTACAAATTGACTTATTTCTTCCTACTCCAATTTCAAAGGCGCCAATTCCATGTTGCCCAGTGCATCGTATACGTTTTTTTTTATGTCATCCTTTTGAAGATCCTCACTGGTGTTGAGAGTTGCGCTTTAAGTTCCATTGGCATAACCTCCTTTTTGTTGCTTTGAGAACTTAGAAAGACACAAGAAAGTCATGGGACATTTTTAGAATTCGTGATTAAACTGGTTGCAAATTATTTAATTCATTGAAAACTATATTTGCCAAAAATTTTAGGTCTTGACTAACGTAAACATTTTCTATTTCCCTTTTTTGTGCTAGATACCAAGCAGAAAAATTAAAATTTGAAGTCTTATCTTCTGTATAATTCATAAATTTGTTGTATTGATTTTAATCTCTTGTGGCTAATGAGATGATTTTCTGTTCATTCAAGGGAAAATGGGATACTCAACGGTTTGAAACACAGTTATGTTTCCCCAAAGATTGCATGTAAGTAATATAGTTCACTTGGGCTCCATTTGATTGTTTAAACTCCCCCTTTCTGTTACTTATTTTTTTCGTTCTGAATATTCGGTGGCTGTTTTCAGATATATTTTCCAAAGCAACGCAGGTCATGGTGGGTTTAGTTTTAATCGGAACCATTCTTGCACTCATAAAAGCCATTTTCCTGTGGAAAGCAAGAAATGCTGTTGGTCCCTATAAAGGATCAAAGGACGAAAAAGGTCTTACAAAACGACAGTTAGGACTTTTGGGAATAAGACCAAAGGTTGAACACGTATCAGAGTCTTCACAGAAATCTCCTAAATCCAAAATTATGCCATCATTGTCTTCTGATGTTCTTGTGCCATTGCATCCGCAAGTCTCTAGTTCGAAGCACTCATCTCGAATAAGAAGTGACAGATCAAACACCAGTGGTGGGACTACAATGCATTCTTTCAGCACCGCTTCGAAATCACCAGTTTCCCCATCTCCATATCTTGTCCCTACAACAAATTTGCAATCACCTCCTGTTAAAACTTCACCAGGATTGGATCAATTGGTTTCCAGCCCTTGGTCGAATAAGAGAGCTCCATTTACTAAAGAGATAACAACAGAAGATGAGCTTGAACAGTTTTTGGCTGATGTCGGCGAGAAAATTTCTGAATCAGCAGGTAAACTGGCAACTCCACCTCCCACCATAAATGGATTTGGCATAGCCAGTCCTAATACCATAACCAGTTCAGCTAACACTTCTGGAACTAGAAGAAGTACACCTTTGCGGCCTGTCAGGATGTCTCCTGGTTCACAGAAGTTCACTACACCCCCAAAGAAAGGGGAGAGTGATCTTCCTCCACTCATGTCCATCGAAGAATCAATTGAAGCTTTTGAGCATTTGGGCATCTATCCACAGATTGAGCAGTGGCGTGACCGCCTCAGGCAGTGGTTTTCTTCAGTTCTCCTAAATCCTCTACACAAGAAGATTGAAACCAGCCACATAAAGGTGTGTTAATATCTTGTCATCTCATTGCCCTCAACCATTATTATTGCTTTCTGATAGTTTTTGGTTGTGCTGGTTTTTTTTTTAATAGCAACAGTACACTACAGGGGAGGGGGAGGGGGAGGGGGTCGAACCTGGCACATGTAAGTGCCCCACGAGAGTGTTTGCCACTTGGGATGGGCTGTAGGTCCTGGTTGTGCTGTTCTTAAACACGTGATATTTGTTGAATAATCAAGTATTGGGCCTTTGATTTGATTAATAACTAGTTATGTTGGTGGCACTGTGTTCAAGGAATACTTCTTGTAATCAATCCAGGGTCTTGTGGGACATGCTCTCCACAACATTGATGCAACATACAACTTAAATGTAGGAAGCTTAAGGGACAGTATGATTGGCTTCGATGAAAATTTTCAGTCTAGAAAATGCCCTCATCTCGGAATTACCATTCCACCTCTTTTATACTTAACTGTGGAAAATGGGGAACTGTGCAATTAGTTCCTCATCCGCTTCCTTCTGTGGTCAATTCTCCGTTTCACTCCCACTAGCTCACTCAGTGAACGCATTTGTGCTCATTCATGCCGAAGGTTTTTGTGAAAAATGGAGAAAACATTCATTGATCTATGGCAAAGACCCAAGTCAGCATTTTGAAATAGCCAAGAAAAGGCAAAGTAGGTAGTTTTTGTGGGGGTTTGCAACTACATAACTTAGTCATCAAAGTGTCAATATTACTACTAAGTAATAATTGAGCATGATTTAGGGACTCTTCAATTATGTGCTATAGAGTCTAGTGATTTATGGCCAAATTTGGCACCAGTTTGTACTGCTTGAAATGCTCAGAAAAGTTCTACAATTTATTAAGGTTTCTTGGTTAGTTTACCCGTCTCAATTGACCGATTTTTTTGATAACATCAATTCAGTGCCTTTATGGACCTATTTTAGGTATGTCAGGACTTCTCCTTTATTAATTTAACACGGTGGTTATGCTTGCTTCAACAATCATACAAGAATATATTTTTTGGGGGGCATAGGGATGGTCTAGAGACATGTGTTACCTTGCCACTTAAGGTAGGTGGGGAATGTCACCAATAAGATTACAGAAGAGAAACTATGAGATAATGTAATCCTTTTTTCACATAATTTCAGCCCGATCAAACCTTAAGATTCTCTGTATCTCGTGCTTATAGGTTTTGCAAGCTGCTGCCAAACTTGGTGTCTCAATTACAATCAGTCAAGTAGGAAGTGATTTACCAAGTACGGGAACTACTACTATCTCTCAAACTGAGAGAAATAATGGGTGGCAGCCAGCATATACTCTTGATGAAGAAGGACTCCTCCATCAGTTGCGCTCTACTATTGTTCAAGCTCTTGATGCTTCCATGTGTGAGTTGCTTCACCTCTAATAGACATTTTTTGTTCATCTTTGCAGGAATAATTTTTGTTATCAATCTTTTTGAAGGATTTTATGTGGATGTTTCTTCTCATTTCCAGCAAAAATGCCTTCTGGCTATCTCCAACAATCACCCCCACAAAATACTTTCATCCCTAATTTACAAGAGTGTAGTGATGCAATTACTGAACATCAGAGGCTTCGTGCCGTGATGAAGGGAGAGTGGGTTAAGGGTTTGCTACCACAAAGTAGTGTACGGGCAGATTATACGGCACAAAGGATTCGGGGTAATTTCATACTTAACCACTTGCTATATGTTCATTGCCTATTCTAGGTCATCTATAATAATGTGGAGTAGATTTTGATATCAACAGATGTGCACTATAATTTTGGCATACAGTACAGTTAAATGGATGTTCCTGCAATAATGAGCATATTCAGTGTAATCCTCCAAAACTGACTTGTCCTACTTATACAGAACTTGCCGATGGTACCTGCGTGAAGAACTATGAGTATCTGGGAAGTGGGGAGGTTTATGACAAAGTGAATAAGAAGTGGACACATGAACTTCCTACTGATTCTCATTTGCTCTTATATTTATTTTGTGCTTTCTTGGAACACCCAAAGTGGATGCTACATCTAGATCCCTCATCTTATGGTGGAGCTCAGTCTGGCAAGAACCCTTTATTTTTGGGCATTCTGCCTCCAAAAGAAAGGTTTCCTGAAAAGTATGTAGCTGTTGTGTCTGGTGTCCCCTATGTGCTTCATCCTGGAGCTTGTATACTGGCTGTTGGGAAGCAAAGCCCGCCAATCTTTGCCTTATACTGGGATAAGAAGCCTCAGTTCTCTCTCCAGGTAAGTAATATTCAATGCATATGTATGCCTTTCCATTGATTTTGTCGTTGGCTGGTTGTGTCATATTGCTTGCATATCCTGACTAATGGTCATATGATTATTTATTTTTAAAGTTTTTATCAATGTTTCAGACCAACGGTTGAACAGAAATGCACAATGTCTGGTTAATACGCATTGAAACCTCGACTTATAATTCTTAAATCGGTCACAAATGAGCTTTGATATGGTATTATTGCAACAGAAGAAAATTAATTGGGACTTGGGAGTACGAAACGCTGAATTAAAGTCAGAAAATTGCCCCATAATTGGAGCAGAGATCAGTTTACGAAGCTTCTCCTGCATTGTCAATTCCAATATAGACATTGTAGAATGTAATGTGGTTTAATTATAGGTTAAGTTCAATTTACTAATTTTCTTCTTGGTTCCATGCTAGCAGCATTTAGCTGCTGGAAGACCTTGTTCAATGAGTAGCATTATTCATGAAAGTTTGATCCTTCGATCATTGATACCTGCCTTTTAGTTGCTGGGAGAGCAAGTTCAGTAGCATAGTTGATGGATTTTGATTTCGTTTACCGTTAGGTACTTATGAGGTAACTCATAAGAAGCAGTGGTTAGTTCATCAGGCCTCCTGCAAGTTGCAAAATTCAAAGACAATTTCTACTTCAAAACTGTGATTTGTGTCAAAATTTCTCTAGTTATTTTCTGCAGGATAGCCTTTTTTATCACTATCTGTTGGCTCAAATGGCAACTATAGCAACCCTCAAAAGGAGAGATGTAGGGACACGAGTGTATGTGATCTATGATGTGCATAAAGTAGGGTTTTCTGTTATATGGGGGGAGGAGCAACTCTAACAGTGATGTTTGGGGTGAGGTGGGCGATTGACATATTTTGCGAGGGCAAAGTAAGTAGAGATTATAAAATGTAAGAATTACTATAAGTGATAAGAAATGGTAAATTTGACCAAGAAAAGTTGATTTTTCAAGAATAAACTTATGAATCAATTTTGAAGTGCATGACTGGCACTTTTGGAGCAATTAATCCCTTTGTGCCTGTCTACCTTTAAGGGCCTTTTCCATAGATTACTCTCATAATGTATGTGCACACGTCTTGCACTATTTGTGTACGCATGATCGATGTTGACAAGTTGTACCTATTCTAAAACGCCGTTTTTTGTTTTTTATTTTCAGGGAAGAACTGCACTATGGGACGCCATTTTGATTTTGTGCCACAGAATTAGGATTGGGTATGGAGGGATTGTTCGGGGCATGCATCTTGGTTCATCAGCCTTAGGGATCCTCCCAGTCCTTGATACAGAAACTGAAGACTGAGAAACTTCAAGGCATATTGTGATATTTATCGCTAAAGTACGCTATGCAGTACTTGAATCAAAGTTACATCGCATGATGTGAATATGTTGCATTTCCCATGCTGGGCGGGTGAGGCTTGCATCAACGCAAAACACCTGTTTACAACAATTGTTCAGCATGTTGGCATAATCAGATCACTTATGGAGATACCTCCTGTCTTCCCATTCCGCTGATCACCGACAGATTCGTGGTTTGATGACAATTTCTGACATGTTATTCAACAGAGTTCTTGGATGATTAGCATTAACTGGTTGGTTGATTACTTCTGACGGTAGTTTAAACATAAAATTTTGTTGTTGATGCTATGGTTTCCATGAGAATTCGCAAGTTGTAATGCCTAGTTGCCGGAACATGTTTGTTCTGATTTCTAGCAAAGACACTCTTGGTGGAAACGCATTTTTTTTTTTGGTGGTATTGGTACAAAAAGAAGGGAAAGAGAGGGGGTTAGGGGAAGAGACCTAAAGATGTTGGGAAGATGGTATAAACCGAATCCTGGGTGACGGGATGGGAGATAACATGATTCATCACGACATCAGCAGTAAATTTTTTTGGCAAGCCCTGTTTCATCACCTGGCCCATGGACAGTCCAATAATCTGTTCAGCAGAGCCGTGGGTTGCAATTATGGATCAATTAGGCCAAATGGGTAGGCCTGATTAAGATCAACATTATTAGAACAGCAGGTTATATCTAAACAGTATGATGGAGCTCTGATTTCATTAGTGAGGTATTGCTCTACAGGCTCAAAGATGCCATGAGGTTCCTCAAATATAAATGTCCTATGGTTAGATGTTCTGCAAAACGGATCGTTTGTCAACTGCCAGGTTCGATAATCATCGACAATTTAGGTCATGGCAGCGTCAAAACTTCAAGATATCCGCAAGGAAATAACAGAGAAAAACTACATCATACCCACTGTTAATAGTGTCCAAAATCAACTTGCCAACGAGTGAAAAAACATCTCACGTATATAAACCAACTGATCCTAATTATTGGTAGAATACAAACTCTCTTAATACCCTTCATCGTGTGAGGATAACCAACAAACAAGAAGCTAGGCATACTAAAAAAATTCAAATGGATAAGAGACTTGAAAGTCCTGACCACCCAAGACCCAATTTTGATATCTTGTTACAACATCTAACCCAAAATTAGTTGCCAATAAGTTGCGCAGCCCTAAGCCCTCTCAACACCCCACCACCGCCGGTGGTGGCCTAACTATATACCCAAACAACTAGACTCCACACTACATCCACAATTTGGACATAAAACTGAGTCACTACTAATATGAAGCTCGGATCAGAGGAGTAAAACTGAGGGCCCATAATCAAGTCCCCAGTTTCAATTAAGCCAAACACAACCCCACCCACACACACACAAAACCCCCTGCTACAATCTCATAAATGAAAGATGAGCAATAACTAGCATCAACCTAACTGTGTCTGGTCTTACTCCCAACGTTGTTGGAAGTTTAAACCCAGCAAATATCACTACTCTGAACAATAGACAATCCAACCTGACGACCAAAGTCTTGAAAAGACCACTTAAAAGTAGAGTTTCAATAATATAAGCATAAATTGAACACTGGAGAAGAATGATGTTTTTTGGTTACTTAATGATAACCTGCATGAGCTGTATATCAGGTTACAAAACCCAAAATATTTGAAAACAGTCACTTGCAAACCCCTTAAATCCCAGTGTGTGTCCAATGCACCTCCTGATGCAAAGAACACTGAGTGGATAAGTGTGCTTACCTAAAACTAAATAAACTACTTACCTAATCTTAATCACTTCCTCCACCTGCCTCGACATCCTTCAAACTGATGCTAAGCAAAAGTTGCACTTACATAATTTTCCACCTTGAACATATTATATTTTCTATAAATAACTGAATCCGAGTTGGTGAAGGCATTTACAGGCTTTTTGTACTCTTCATAAGTCAGTAATAGGGGACATTTGTGTTACTAAAAGGGGGTTCCCCACTACATCCAAAGGTAGTTACCGATGGGTGTTTCAAATTTCACATATAACAACTGCTGACTGTACAATTTACCAGCATGAGACCTGCAAATCATCCGAGAAAGAGGAGGAACAAAGAATGTATACCAGACCTGTTAGAGAAATGAAAAGAAAATTAGAACTGTGTCATGTATCAAGAAAGTACACTAAATCTGAAAGTAAAACAGTAAATAAACAAGCTCACCCATAAAATGAATTCCCCAAGGTGCCAGCAAACATTTTAAACTGGAGAATTTGTTCCTCGTGTGCCTCTCAGCATCTGATATTACTGTCTCATAGGTGGAGAATGTATGTCAGCCTTCACTTCAATTTACAATTTGACCATGAAACAATTGCACACCAAATCGTCCCAGCAAAGCCTCCCTCTTCTTAAATCGAAAAGATATGGTGCAGCATTACAAACAAATTTCTCAAGAAGCAACAGCTATCCCGTCATCAAGGTCCAACTACTCTACTACTCGGAGTCCGAGCCGCTAAAAAGATTCAATCTTGGTCTTACAGAACGTCGTCCGCGAGGAAATGAGAAAGGACCTTCTGATCTTTCCCTATTAGTTTTAACAGATCTATTGTCATTCTTACCGAGCAGCAAAGAAGCTGTAGGAACAGGGGGGGGGGCAAGAATTCAACATAGGATAGAAGATAAGGCAAATTAGCAAAGAGAAGGATGGTACAACACGTGCATCTGAAAGCTAAATGTGGTTCCTGAGGACAAAAAATTATGTGATCCAATCATTCCATTCTCAAGATCTTTACTTAAAAAGCTGGACAGAATGTTGCTTTCAGATATGCAATATTAACACATAGCTCACATCAGATCTGCCTTTCAATATATTCACAATATCCGATTAATTCGGGTTTAGGTCTCAATCAATTAACCATGCATTCTGACATGAGTTAAATATCAACTAGCCAGAGCATATGTAATTTTCCGACAGTAAAGCCAAATATAAGCTTGAAATGAAAAGCATACTTGTGGTGTGGGTGTGTGCATTTGTTTTGGGGGGAAGCAACAAAGAAAAAGCCAAAAAAAGAAAAGAGAATAACACATCAATGACAAGGCACATACCTGTGTCTGCCAATGAATCCAAGGCACCTTCCCTGGATTGTAACTGCTGTCTTGAACTTAATCTACCATTTGCAGCTGCAGGCTCACCAAGACCCCCACTGCCACCATCCCCAAGCCTGAGAGAAATCCAATCCTCAGTGTGGACACCATTTGAAACCTCCGGTTGATCTCTTAAATCAGCCTCTCCTGATGTATCTGAGGGCCTTGTAGGTAGAAATATTTGAAGTGAGGGGTCATCCCCACCAAATGCCAATGGATTATCAACTAACCCACCATTCATATCAGTATTCGGACAGATAATATTAGATTCAGAGACTAGAGCAGTAGAACCCATGGAAGTCTCAGCTGTCAACGTGTAGCCATTTATTGACACAGGACAATTCAAGGAACCATGCTGCACATCAGCTAAGGCACCAGAGACATCTGCATCTGAACCAAATAACTGAAAACCGGGGCCTCCCTGACTGCAAGAAGGTAAAGACCACATGGACATCCCAAATTCATCATCATGGCCATTGAAAAGCCCCAGGCATGAATTCCCACCAGTACCAAGTACAGGATCTTCATGATAAGAATCTGGAATTCCATGTGGAGGAACTGAAAATGTTACTCCACCATCAGTCCGACTATTTGTGTACGCAGTTCCAGAAGAAATCAGGATTTCATTTTCTTCATCAGAATCACTGAGAACAATAACTTCAGCCTCCCCCAATGGCACAGAAGAATTTCGGTCAGTAAATCCATATGTTTGGGTGTTCAGAGCAACAGAATCCAACTCAATCCCATTGTTGGTCGGAAATTCAAAGTTCCCACCACCATCCTGATTTACACTGGGATCGTCGCCATCCCTACCACTACCAGTGGCACTGCTGCTCATAGGAATTACATTCTGACCATAATTTTCAAAGTTGGCTCCTAGTCTATTGCCGGAAGAGAGTGCATGTGTATCTTCAGGTTTGCTGAATTCCCAAATGCCATTTCGATTCTTCTTGATTCCAAGTTTCAAACCAGGATGGCCTTCAGAAGCACCTTCCTGTTTAATCTGCTTTAAAAGTTCTGCTTTAGGCTTAGTCTGTTCATCCATAGCCGCATAGACAGTACCATCAGGAAGGTGCCACTGCCAAAGATCCCCAAGACTCCTACCACTACTTTCTGTTTTTGTGCGCCAAGAACCATCAGGCTTCACTTCAATGTCTGTCACATCTTCTCCACAGTTCCGCATCTGCAAGGCAGAACCAAACAAAGCATAATGCTTCTTTTCAAAGAATACATTCTGTAAATCAAAATCAAATGCTTAGAAGACACTACCTTAGATGTAATGCGATTGAAATATGGATCAATGATGATTTTCTCCAAACTGTAGTTCTTCAGACAAATGGGGCATTGCCACTGCAGCCATATACAACGCTCACTACCACATACAAAATTGGCTAAAAAAGATTGAACTTGAAATTTAACACATAGAACAATGGTAAAAGAGAGCAACAAAATGTATAATTATCATTAAAGATTGCTAGCCTTTCTAGAACGCTGGTTCATTTCAACAAACACTTCAAGGTCGAAACAGCCCATGTGCACACAAGGTTTGAATCTTCCAGCAACCTTCATTCTCGAACCACTCATCTGAAGCATATATACAAAAGAAAACCAACCCAGATAAATTCAAAAAACAATAACTGCTGTGTCAAAATGATACAAATGACATCAGTAGACGTCAAAGCACTAAAAGCTATCACATATTTCATGGATATATTGCAACTGACACACACACCATTTTCTCTTCCTTCTGGGAAGCATGATAGGTTAAAGACAGCTGATTCAGGAAATTTTAGATGAGTCTTTGGGATTACAAACAGAAATGGAAATTCATCAAACCAATTTTTTAAAAACAAAATCATATTTTGAGAAGCATGTCGTATCTTCAGACTGGGGTAATCTGGTTTATAAAATTCTTTGTCGCAATACTACAGCAGTAAAACATTTCGAATTTAAACAAATTGCATAGAAAACCATAGAAAGAAATTCATGAGTAACCTTTGCGAATAGGATGAGGTTATGCAATTATACTCTACAAAGAACTGATGCACAGATGTCAAAGAGATGTAAGGAACGATTCTTTCTGTCTTTCTTATTTTTAAGGTTGCAAGAGGGTATTTTCATACATCACTTTTACAACCAATTTTGTTGTCATGTTGATACTTGGTAATGTATCCAAAGTCAGAGCCCCAGAAATATGTAGTGCATATTTCACGTCTCCAAAGTTCTATCTTTTTTTCCGGACAAGAAACAATAACTTTCATTGAAAGCAGGAAAGCGGTATACAGGGTCAAGTAGGTGGACGAAAGATTCACTCAATATTCAGATGGAAACAAAAAAAGAGGAAATCAGAATAAAACCTCTTTCAACTACAAGCCACTAATCATTTTTTTTAAAAGCACCGAATTTTCACTAGAAAAAGAGAAATACCAAAGATTAGAAGAGAAATTATACATCAAAACAATCCAAAAGGAAAAAAAAAAAAAACTACGGGCCACATGATGATCTCCTGCAAAACGGAGGAAAGCCATTAGATTACTTGCTCATCAATGCCCACAAGGATGCCAAAAAAATTGAATATCCCATAAGCATCATAAATCACACTCTTGCCATCCAAAACTCTAGCCAATGATGCAATGGAATTCCAAGGAGTGATAGATTTCATACCACTTCCAGTACTCCTAAAGTCTTCCACAAAAATGAATCAACCATTGACATCCATTAAAAGTCCACATGTAGATACTAAAACACTTACAGTCGATACTTACAGGACAACGCAAACTGACAGGAATGCAATCAGCAACGACTTCCAGATCACTGTCACTATCAGCATTCTCTGTAGCAGTTCCACCACCAACACAACGGCGAACACGGGCAAGAGCATCATCAAATAGCTCACCATCAGACTCCTTGGGAATTAAATTGAAAATCTGGACAACAAAGTAGAAACAACATAATCATCACACCCAAGAAAGCTGGGGTGAAATTCCAGGGAAATGAAGCAGATACAACCATAAACCACAAGCCATAACTCAAATTGTGAAGTTGAACTGATATAACAATTTACATCTGAAAATCTATGTCAAATAGATGCAACAATAGAAACTAGCATGCAAAGTAAGCACAAAAGAATAACGGGAGAAACAATTCTGTCCCAAGCCCCAAAGAGAAAAAGTTCCGATTCCTTGCAGTACAAAAAGTTCCAATAGTCTTCTTCATAACATAAAAAGTAAGCTAAATATTAGGAGGAATAAGTACCGAGCTTCACAGAGGACATGCCGACAGCTTCAGCGACATCAACAAATTTTAAATGCAATAATAACAAAGGACTGGTAACCCTTCACCAATGATCATGGTTGTGAACATGGTCCACTAGCATGATCACAGCCCTAATCCTATACAATTAAATCAATTCCAATACAGTTAATCCTGTATAGGAAAAAAAGAAAAAGGCAAACCAACACCAGGAGACCAGGCAAAACACACCCAAAAAAATCTACCACCACTGGCTGACTGCTATACAACAATATCCAACAATAATTGATGTTCCTCCAAACAAGATCCCCAACTAAAGAAACATAAAGTCTTATAGGATAGGCACTGTAGGCACAGCTACTGATCCAAAATCTGTGACTTCAGCAACACATTAGCTTACCTGTTGGACAGTGCGTCTCTTCACAATTCTGACCCCAACGCAGAACACTCGAGCATCACATCCGGTTAAGGAAACTTTATTAATTCCATCTCTGGTGCAAGGTGTGATCTGACAAAACAACAAAAGGTAACCTAAGAAAAACACCCAAGAACATAGTGCTGTTAAAATTGTCAATCCTGGCACAAATCAAGAAAAGATAACAGAAAACATGACCCATGTGCCTAATCAACCAAAACCACACACAAGCAACAAAAGGAATCAGTAGAAAGATGATCAACCCCAAAAGAAGAAGACTGACTACTAAAACAGATGTTTGCAAAGGGTCAAAAACTCACAACAGGGCCATCATCCCGGCCATTGGCTCCTAGCAATTGTGACCCAGGTCTGTTTATTGCCCGCACCGGTACACCTGTCAGGTCATATTCAATACTTTATATATAACAAACTCAGTGCTAAACATAGAATCCAACTTAAAAAACAAAAGAAACTTTCCAAACAAACCCCACAAATAATTTGATTTCAATATATGTTCAATACAAGGATTAAACTTCAAGCCTCTATGTCAGAAAACTGGAAAATCAGCAATTTTTCCACATCAACAGGCATATATGAGCAAAGCAAAATCAGCTTAGAGCATACCATTGACCTGTAGATCTGCATATTGTGGCCACTGCATCCTGAATGGTACCTTGTCATTAAGCAGCATACACCAAGCCTAAAGCATAATAATGCAATCATCATGAGTACATCTCTTAACCTGCCTGCCACTGCAATCTCAAACAAATCTCTCTATACATACAAGGCTAGTGTAACAAAGCGGTTGGCCTATATTTTCATGAGACAGCATACAGTACTCTAACAAACCTGTACATCATACTCTTGTTTTGACAACAAATCCTTGTATTCCCTTGTAATTTGAAACGTTTTCTCAATAACAATACTCTGCATGGGGTTTGTCCTGAAAAAATCTGTGCATGTAAGCATAACAGAAGAGGACAGTACATGTATGCAGACACTCGGAAGCACACATAAAAGGGCCACAAATGTAAATACAGCAAAAACTCAAAGAAAGGAGCTTTCCTCTTTCAAACAAGTATAGGGACATCAAGAATGGAAAGGCTGCTGAGGGCGAATGATGTACATGGGCACGGATCGTGCCTAAAAAGCATAAAAATAAATGAGCACAGAAAGACATCTCCAAATCATTCCATTAATAGCATCAGCTGATTTCCATCTAACCATCACACATCGCCATCAATTGCAACAAAAACTCGCCATCAGAAAAAGATAAACCACATGCCTAGCAGAACCGTTGAGGTTTTACATGAAAAACAAATAAGGACAAAGAAATGGTTTAGATATTTTGAGTTAATGAAAACCCTAAGATGTTATGCATGCGACCTAGATGATAAAAAGTGCACAAAATACACCAAAAGCATGAACAAAAAAAGTCATTTACACAGGGCTCGAATAGTTAGAAATAATTTCTGTCGCACAAAAACAGTATTATCATTGCATCCCAGTCGCTAGAACTAGTAGCACAAAGGGATATATCAATAGTTGCACTCATCAATCTTGAAACACATGTTCCATTTATTCCAAATCAAGAACCAAGTCCAGAATAGTCCTCCTATATAACTCGGTAAAATACACAAAACGGCAAATAGATGAGTCCTTTTCTCTGTGCTCAGGACATACTGGAAGAATTTTTTTATCTCAAATAGCTCGCCACTAACAGTATATTTACTCATCAACTAAGCACCACAAATTGACACTGGACCGTCTATTCAGTGAACTTCCTTACAAGACCTCAGTTTGTAGTTTAGTTAAGTAAACAGCATTACTATAGACTTCCAAAGACTGAACTTCAATGATAATTTAAAATTACTAACATGTAGGGAAAGGGAAAGGAAAAAAAATTGCTTTCATAATAAAGGAGAATGGAACATCTATATAAATCACCAGGTGTTGCATCCATAAAAATAATTACTTTAACATGAAAATAAATCTAATTTAATTAGTTTTTTTTCCCAGACGGAAAAAAATAACTGAAGTGAGAACTCTAACAAACCTGATTTCCTGCCTATATCAGATCAATATTGTTGCAAGGCTTACAAGATTCACACTTAGAGGTTCACAACATCAACTTTAGGAGTCAATTGTGGAGGGGAGAAAAAAGAGGCATCATTGCACTCACCCATCAGTTGGAACGCTTGCAATAGTCAGTTTCACTGGATATAAAGGATGTGTCACCGCCACGCAGAAGCTACATGTAAAAATCAATTAAAAGAAGTAAAAATGTTTCCCATTTTTATTAAAGAGGACTCTGGGAGTCAATCTAAGAATATAGAAATCCAATTATTAGTGAAGCAGCTTAATGAAATCTTTAAGTTGGCAATAGGTGCAATTGCTGATCCAACCCAGGCAGGTTTTGGCAAGGTCAAAATACCAGGTCAATCTTTTCAACTTCTACCCAAAGCCTATTCAAAAAAGTCATAAAACAAATATCTCTGTCCCAGATTCCATCTGAACATGTAGGCTTCTAGCTTTAAATTCAAGAAAAAGATAAAAAAAAAAAAACAATCATTATATAAAGAACTAGGAGTAAACTGTGCTTGAAGCCACGATGCAATGTGAATAATAATTTTGAGTGTGACGTTGGTGACCGTCGGATGGACTTATTGAAGTCTATCCTATTTTATATTATAGATTTTAGCTACTGTCACAAAACACCAACAGTGAGCAATATCAAAGATGAAAAAAATGGAAGATGATTGTTGATAAACAAACAGGGAAGACAAGAAGACACTAGTTATTTACTATGATATTTTAATGTTGAAAACCCCATTCTACTACTTTAGTTACTAGCACGGACGTACTATTTATTAGCTGGGTCTGGAATGTAATTGAATAACTGAATAGGAAATGAAATTAAATTATCCTTGTACAAAGAGCAGAAGATAATTTAGCAGATACTCTATACAGCGACTCAAGAGATTCTCTTAAGTGCCCGGCATCCCATCAATATTGATTTCGCATTAGCACATAAGATGTCAGTATGAGACAGGGATTGAGATAATGCAGCAAATGGCAATTCATCAAGAAAGCAACACAAAATATGGTGAAATTGTGCAATGCAGATGATATTAAGCAGGAAAAAAAGATGTGAAAGTATAAAATCCATAAATGAAATATCAGATGTCATATCAAGAAAGCTAAACCATTATAAGGAGTTCTATCAAGAGGACAAGGAGCCAGGGAAAAATTGCAACTTGATTAACCAACCAACATGACTAAAATCCAGTGACTGAAACAACTGGGAGAGAATATAATTATATGCCATCCAAAGAAAACAGGGTAGCAAAAACATGAATGCCACTTACGGGTCTGCCCGACTCAGTCTACAGAGTTCACAGTAAAACATCTCGGGAGGAACTGGTAGGACACCATCCATAGGTTTATCTGGAATAATGACACAACCAATATGCTGCCACACATTGCATCTTGGATCCTCACACTGTAAAAAATAAATAACAATTAACGACACAAAGCAACGCAATTCATTTAAAGCTAGAACAGAAGATAAGCCGCATTGGGCAACAGCGCATGCACAATTTTTCTGTTTGCTACTTGGAGATAGAGCATATAAGAAGGCAAATGGCATTTTGCAAAAAAATTACCCCTTAATCCAAAGGGCCCAAAGAATAATATACTTTACAGGTCACCACCCAGTTTGTTCCCTGTTAACCAATGATACTAGAATGGTGGACAGTGGACTGAATACAGACCTAACATTTTGGCATTATTTGTGGAAAATGTTGCCCTCCAAGTCATACTCATATCCTTCAAGTTATCAGCCTAACACTATTACCACTACATCAGGCAAAGACTCCTAAAAAGAATATATATTGCATGAACAAAAATTAAAGTATCCTTGATTACATAAGCAAAAAAAAAAACTACTAAAGAAAAAACAGGAGTACAAAGCTCAAAAAGGAGACAAAACCAATAGCAAAACTGCCCCCAAAGTGCAGAGGTGCTACTACCTTAATACACAAAATCAAAATACATGGTGTGTCTTATAGTGGTGGGTTGTTGGGGGGAAGAACAAGAGAGACAGAGAGAGACTGTTCCTTTAACCTTAATCATTGAATCAGTTTGCAATGAACTTCCACACGGACACCGAATCTTAAACATTTGGTAAGAATCTTCAATTTCCTCTTTCAAATTCACATCACTGTTGTCTGAGGCACCTGAGGCACCCTGTCCTTTCGACGCCAAATCATTTGCCCCAGAAACCTGCAATTTTCTGGAGCAACAAACAAAAAAGTTAAGCATGTAAAATCAACTTATAAAGATAAGAAAAATGCTACTTGACCCCCTAATATACGGAACTCATGTACGATATAATCTTAAAATCATGATAAGAGGATTATAATAAACAGAATTGAGGAATCTAATCTTAACTGTTGCGAAGTATTATAATAAACAGAAATGCACCTGTATATGTCATCTACCAGTTTTGCTGCCATGTCCTTCCCAACAGCATTTTTCTTTGCCCAACCAGAAACTGCACAAAGAAAAACACACCACAATTATTCATAGAAAAGAAATACAGACAAAATGAGATGTTTTCAAGGATTAAAATTTCGTTTCGAAACTCATATACGATACATCAGATGTTTCAGATGTTTCGAAACGGTTGAAACATCTGAAACGTTTCCATTTTCAAGGAGACCGAAACGAATCAATGATAGAATCGAAATTCTAATACTTTGAGGTGTTCTATAATGTTACGAGATATTTTGTAATATTTCATTGCAGTTGCACAATTGTTTTGAAATGTTTCAAGGTATTTTAATGTACTTTGGTATATTTCAACCAATATTTTGGAAAATTAATTTTTAAATTTTTTATTTTTTTCATTCTATTTTCGAAATGAGTCAAAACGTTTCCAAAACACGTCGAAACATTTCCGTTTCCTAAGTGACAGATACAACGCAGCGAAACAAATTTGTGATCATTAGATTTTTGCAGAACAACTAAAATACATCAGGGAAAAAGCACAAAAACCTGGGATGGCATACACCCATCACTTAAAATAACAAGCATGCAATCTAAAAGGATAAAAACAAATACGGAGAAAAAAGACAGCTAGAAAGACAAGAGACGCCGAGTGTAAGACTGGTCAAAATGTGTTTGATTGACCACTAGCACAATGAAAGTGGCGTGAAGTGCAGAGCATTCATCCATGGGTTCAAAGGCCTAAAACATGATGAAGAACAACCACGCACCAGATCACCTTGTTACTCATTGTATTACAGAAGATTACATAAAACAAAAAAATCGAGTTTCTCGAATGACGGAAATTGATTTTTTAATGTACTCGAAAAATTTAACAGAAAAACTGCCACTCTGCCTGCAGAACGACAAACTTTTGAGATGGAAGACAAATATATTCTGCAAGTTGCAACTATGATTTGCTGATCATCTAGGAAAAACCAGACACCTATATTAAAAATAGAACCACCAAAAAAAAAAATAAACTATAAAATATTTATAAATTTCAATGAGAAGCAAATCATTTCAGAAAAAAACAAGAGTATCTTCTGCTAGCACCTCCAGGAATGGCTTACGCACAGCACAAGGAGGAACAAGAAAAGGAACAATGAACAATGTGAGAAAAGGTGGGTTAACTGACACATCAACTGCAGCAAAAACAACATATCTATCCCATTTATGCAGAGATGGGAGATAAATAGTTACCTCGTTCATCAGAGAGAATGGCTAATATGCGGTCAACAAGGTCCTACAGAAGATTAAACAGAGATACATAAGACAATATTTCTATAACAATCCAACTCAAACACCTAAAACATGATGAATCATGAAGATATCATATAAAAAAAAAAGGGGTAATCAGATTATAAGGAACACAGAGGGATGTACATGAGAAATGCTTTAACCTTTAGTCAACCTCCAAGTAAGCTCAGCCTAACGCCTAGTTTTACAAAAGAAACTATTCTTAGAGACAGCCCAATGCACACCATAATAGATGACAACTTAACTCCCTTCCCAGTAAGCATGTCGCAAATATTACCAAAAAAAAATTGAGAAACACTAGCCTCAAAAAACATCTTGAAAATACCGAAATCAGAATAACATATTGGAAGCTTAGTTGTGCCAAATATACATCTACTGGTCAAAAAATAAACATGGAGTAGATAAAGAGAGAAGTGGTCCGAAAATAAAATCTCATTTTCCGGTTTGCATAACCTTGAACCCTAAAAAGAGATGTTTGACAGTCTAGCTTCAAAGAATGATGAACAATTGTACAAGCTCACATGATGTAACTAAAAATGACCCAAAGGGAAGTATTCCCCGAGACAGAGCATGCCATTTTTAGTGCTCAAATACAAATAAAATGGAAGTCACAAGGACTACTACAAACTAACTTTCTTGTATATCTATGATAGAAATGAAAAGCATAGTATCGCCTCAAGTACATAGTATGGTTGTACGAAACACCGAAAGTCAGATCCAAGAACAGGAAAACAAAACCCCTTGTGCATACTGCAAGGGTGGGACTTCTGAAGTTTGCAACCACGACACAAAACCCAAATATCAGGTGGCACTAGTCAAAATTTAGAACAAAACCATAATAGCTCTTTAGCAAGTCATGTAATGGAAAAAAGCCACAACTAGCAAACCTGCTTCTTTCCTTGCTTTGATAGCCCTAGTTGATTAAGGAGATCCTTGAGCTCCTTTATGCGGAAATATGCCAATTTGTCCTACAAGATAGAATACTAATAGTCATGGACAAATTGCAAGCAAATGCAAATAAAACTGAAGTATCTGAGCAAATGCAAATAACACAAGATAGAATACTAATAGTCATGTATAGGCTTCGACCATGACTCCCCAAGTGATTGCAGTTAAAAATGTGGTACTTCAACAGTAGCTGAGCTCCAGGCTAGCTCATAGCCATGATGGATATCATCCAGGCCAAGAACCCAATTTATCAGTTAATTTATACCACATAATAGCTACCAAAGCTCATATGCCCATTCTGACAATTCAAGAGGATTATAGTCCTTAGGTTCCACCTGTTAACTGTCTTAACTTCTTCAGGTACGCAAGTCCATCTGCTTGAACCTCCTAAATAACTAAAGACAAAAAAATCACCTCTTAAATAGGACACTTTATATAATATATACAAGTTCCTTCACTTCAACCTCCTAACGTACTCTTAGTAAGATAAAAACTTCCTTACCTTTAATGTTCAGCATCTTGACAGGTTTAGAAAACAAACATGAAAGAAGCTTCGTGATTAAATTATGACAGTGATCTGAACCCACATTCTTTTTCACAATTAAAAAAGACTTGAAAAGCAGCACAAGGCATCACAGGATGAACATGAGAAAATAGCTTATTGACCCCGCAACACCCAAGCACTAATAAAAAATGAGCAAGAGGTATGTCAATTACACAAGCTATTTGACCATAATACATAGACTCGTAATCTTGATAATCCAATATCTATAATCAAAATTCACAATCAAACATCTCGTCTCTCAACCGTCTTTGAAAGATGCAACAATATGGATAAACATAGTTTGAACTTTGCAAATGGAAGAGGGAGAGAAAAAGAAGACACCCTTTTTTAAAACAACGTTTCGACACACCCTATTTCTTGGATTGGAAGACTCCACAAAGTTTAAAAGAGGATTACGCTGAGGAGATAACATTGGAATTCCTTCTCCAATCTTATCACCCATTTTCTACTTAGCTTACAAGAGCATTTTCCAACTTCCAACAACAATAATTTATCGGAAACAAGATTCCAAATCCCATCCCAATCCCAGAACTCCTTACATTTCACACATGCTTCATTAAACTAGACAATTTTACAACTCCACGATGACAATCTCACCTCACCACAAGTCCTTTGTAGAACCATACCAACAAGTTTTGCAATTCATATAATAAAGCAGTTGCTATATCTAAACAGTTTTACTGACCCCTCAGATAGATACCCAAAAATATCATTCACCACTCCATTCTTTCAGTGCCATAATCCCAAGTCCAAACGAAAACTCTAATTTGCATTCTCTCACTCTTCTAAGTACCTATCAAAAATATGATTCCCTGACAATCTTCAATCAAAAGCATCAGAAATCCAGCGCCCAACCCCTTTCAATGAGCACAAGATAATTTTTTGATAAGGAGCACAAGCCTTTTTCCCCCTTAGGGGCACAAGGCTACCATCAAGAATATACCACCCAAGTAAAAATCCCCCACAACCAAAAAGAAAGCTGAAAAGGCTACATTAAAGTAATAAGCAACTGATGGCTAAATAACTAAACAAAAATGTTATATTATTGAGTAGAAAAGCAATGCAATCCCTGACTTGATCCATAGAGAAGCCACTAAGCATGGCAAAAAGTCCACTCTAGGGATGCATAAAGAACATGGTGGAAAAGCTACTTGGGACATGGAGATTCTGGAAACAACATAAAAAGAGACCACAAATGCCTAGACCAGAAAAGCTACCATGCAGTTGGTAACATGTGAAAGTACTTCAACAAACACTTGGCTTCCAAAAATCCAATGCCTATTGAGACCATAACTTCTTCAGCTATGATTACTTTAAGAACATAGAGACAGATTATTATAAGGCACATATACAACCTTCCCCTTCATCAATCCATTTACTGAAAACTCATTTTCTGTCCCAGCCCTGTATCTCAAAAGTTACCAAAATTGACAGAACAATGATAATACAGAAACTTGCTTTATATGATGCCACTGTATCGCCTCAGATGATGGCTATCAAACAAACCAAAGTAAATAATTTAAGGGCTGCAAAATGAAGGTATACATCGAAAAGTGGAATGTAGCTGATTTCTACTTATAAAACCATATACTAGAACTATTTCAGTACACCCACCACCAGAATATCAGATGCCCTACTATCCAACACCAATGAACAAATTTGTCATAAAATGGAACAAATAAATGCTACAACCAATGAACATGACCCATAAAGCAAAAAATAAGCTGGTTTCAAATTTCAACAAAAAAACCAGCAAACTTGTCAAGCAACATCTATATAATAAAGTACAAGGCATTTCAAATCTCAAAGGATATAAAAAATGACTTTTACTTTTGGTGGTTCAGATCATTTCAAAACAGATCTAAAAGCAATCTAATGATTGAAAATCACTCCCCAAAATTTAATATCCCGCCTAAAACATTCCATATCTGCATGCTCTAACTTATTTACGCGTTTTCCATTGTTGGCACCCTTTCTCACGCACCTTCTTTCTCCTCCCCCCTCCCCCAAAAAAACAGTGCCTCATTTCCCACCCTCTCTTTCGATACCCTAACAACTTGCAATCAGCCATCACGCCACCAGCGAACCACCATACCTCGCTCTGGATCCGACAACACTGCTACTGCCATCAAGGTATGTCTCTCCCTCTCTCTCTGGTCCTCTCCTTCCTCTCTCTTTCTCTCCCTCCAACCGTAAAACCACCACCCACCCCACCCCAACCGTCTGCCGCCGCCGCCCTCCCCAAAACAAAAAAAAAAAATCCCAACCCCACAGCCTAGCCCACAATCCCAGATCCTCTACTACCACCGCCTTCTGCCACCACCTTTCCTTATCGTAAACCAACCCCAACCCCAACCCAATCCACTCAGATCCTCCAGTACCATGGCCTTCTACCTCTCATTCTCTGTCCACGACCGATGCCACTGACCTAACCCTCTCCATCCTTCTATCTCCCTCTCACTTTATGCCCCAATTGCCACAACGCTGCCGCAATCAATCAGCCACCAACCCAGCCCAACCTACCCCAAATTAGGGTTCCAATTATTCACTTGGAGCAAAAATTGGGTATTACCGGTGAATATAATTTGATTTATTATCTAAGTATTCAATCAAACCTAAAATCATGCAATTGATCAATCAGAGACTATATTTTGGTATACATTTGGTATAAGCAGCAGCTAGGGATGAATTTGAATGGGGGAAAGTAAGTTCTTTACAGCTTTGTATTGTTAAATTTATACTGATTCGTATGCCGCTACTCATTCTTGATTGGGTTCGATCTAACCCAATAATTTTTGAAGGTGAGTTCCTTGAATTGATTTTAATGTGTTGATTATTTTAATTGACGAGTACAAAATTTGTTCAAATGCCTTTCAGTGTAACTGCTTCGCGATGGCGCAGGTTGGTGGGTGGTTTTACTACTCACGCCCATTTCTCTCTTTCCTTATCGTTGCAGAAGGTGCCCCATGTTTTCTCTTTTTTTCTAAGTATATTCAATTTACCTTTAATGTTCAGTTTTTATTTATTATTGGGAGGGGCTTTCACAGTGGTTGCTTAAATGGTCAATCACTGATATGGTATCCAATTTATTATTAGATTTTTGCTGTTGAACGATCTTGAGTTAGTTTTCTTAGATGGGTTTGATTAAATTAGTTTCCTTATTTTTATTTTCTGATTAGTTGTCTTTTTCGATTTTATGTTTTAAAGCATTATCTATTGGTCAATTTAAGTATCCCCATTTTAATCATTTTTATTTTGTATTTTTAAGGGACTACACCTATTATAGTGGATAATAAGCATAGTTATCAAATCGAGATTCATATCGGGAATCAAAATTCTAGATTTGATATGCAGGAATCGTTCGAAACAAAATTCGAACAATGATAAAAAAATAACATGTACATATTTAAAATAGGAAAGATATTAAATATTGAGCATTATTATATTTTAAAAATAATCAATTAACAAGTATTGACATGATCACAAAATCCAAAACCCACTACACTTTCAAAAATAATTTTTTGATGAAAAACGAAAAATTGAACATTTAACGAAGAAGAAGAATAAGTAGGGTATGTTAGGAGTCGGTAATTGTTTTCGAAGAATAAGCATATCCGGAGTAAAGGAGACATCGTCTCTATGTAATGTTCACAGACGTTTGAACAATTGCTCGAGAGGCGGAGACGCAAACAGGAAGTACTGAGAGAGACATCAGTTTTATATTTGGGGGTGAGCTTCTTTTAGCAAAATGACATCGTTTTAATAGAAATTGGATTAAAAAATAAATAAAATGATTCGAATCGAATTGAATTGTGCGATTCTCATCCAAATACGATTCTATAGTAAGATACGAATCAAATGTGGACTAAATCATATGAATCGAATCATAAATCGTACAATTTTGATAACAATGATAATAAGTCATGGAGCACCTTTTCTTCGTGGAGACAGAATCAAGGTCTCACAAGACAACCAAGTTGTAGAGCAAAAGTAGGTAACAATTAAGATTTTCATAACATTTTGTGTCGTAGTGTCGCTTTATTGTATGGTCGTACGTTGGGGCAATTTTTTTTTTTTATTTTGTTTTACTTAGTATGTAAATCATATCTGCATGTTGATATTTATAGGGTCTTTTGGTATCAGTAAATACATGGACCAATCTTCATGTTTTGGGTGTACTTATGGTCTTTGCAATCGATAGAAGTTATTATAGTTTGTTCTGGGATGTTGTCTGTTTTCGGTTTATTTTTGGTAAGAGGCTTGGACTGTTTGGTTTGATCGGTAGTTATTTTGCTATTGTAGCTCTTGATTGATATATGTTCTAGTAGTTGGTAAATAGCTTGTGTTAAAGCATGTATATGTTTACTTTTGTTCCATGTCATGCATAATGAGCAATGTTAGCTAAATGAACTGCTTTTGTTTTTAGAAGAATATATGAATTGGGAATTTGACAAATACATAGAAAGTGCAGTATTGCAGGGAAAGGCTCATAAAGATCAAATGTTTGGATTTTAATGAACTAGATTTAAATGTGAGAATGGTTCGTCATCCAATATTTAGTATGTTGGCTTTTGTGATCTTAGGTTGTCTTTTTCATTGATTTTGGTTCTGGTAAGTGGGTGCATATGGAATTTTGTGTATGTAAATGTGTTGCAATAACAACAATTTTGGAATATCCGTCTTGATATGTGGTTGGTTTAATTGATGCAAACTATACATGTTAATAGTGAAATTTAATATGATTTTTTGATCTCTATCATTTGCTTGGCTTTGTCAAATTATATACCATGGCCAACTCACCTGACACCAACCAAATAACATGTCACTGTTCCTGTGAAAAATGATTACATCTATATTGTTAGACACCATTGCTTTTGCTTTTGATTCCTGATCAAATTCAGCATCAAGGAAGGTGGGAATCTTGATTTGGTTAGGTATTCAAACACATTTTCTGGCCATCGTCTATCTGTTTGCTTTTTCTCCATTTGTCAAATATTATTGTCAGTCATATTGGTCGGCACCACTATTTGTGTCTCTTTTGCAGTGGTACTACCCTTTTACAGTTTTTTGTAGTACCTTCGGGCAATGACTAGTAGTTAAATAAGTACACTGAAACCAACGTGCACAAATTAACCCATAGTTATTCCACAGCAAATATATTATCTTTAAAAAGTGTTCAACTGCCACAAAACCATGCTATAACCATTATCAGTTGCCATATATCAAGGAAACAGTACTGGAAATATTGTTTTCAAATATATACACAATCAATCGCAGAGATATAAATTATATACCTTGCAACTAGGTGCCAAATCCATCTCAATACCCAATAATTAAACCCTGAATCAGTCGATGTTCCGTAGTTGAACCGGCAAATATTTAACGACCAAACCAATCAAAACAAACCATTTCTCCTCCAAACAACGATCGATCTAATCGAAAAAAGATCAAAGACACAATTACAAACTAATAATATCGATCATAAATAAAACGAAACAACATGCAATAACACCAGAAAATCACAAAATTAAAGCCCTAAAGTCTCCTAATTAAAATCACATCAATAAACATATACATATCCATACCAGAAAACCGCGAAACTGAGGTGAGTGCTTACGTTGGTGAATCCACTGAAGAAGAAAAGAGAGAGAGTGGGTGATTTTAGAAACGAGTAATTGATACGCCTGTGGAGGCTTTGGAGTGACTCGGAGCCTCACGCCGACATAGCCTCTCTCTCTCTCTCTCTCTCTCTCTCTAACAATCTTTTGTATCTTTTTGACCGAACCCAGCCGGAAGGCAACTCTCCAGTACCAAAGCTTCACGGACGCATCGTCGATCATAAAATCCGGTTTGTTCTGTGCTAACAAGTCCGGGTTTGGATTCTCTGCTACGTTGGACCGTGTTGATTCTCAGCGCTTACGTAAGAGAGTTTGTGGCAATAATGTATTTCCAAGAAATTCTCGACAAAAAAAATATTCAAAATAAAATCAGAAAATTTAAAAAAAAAAAAAATGGTAGGAAAGCTTATGCCACTATCATTAATATGATAAAATATTATTAAATATCCTAGTCCTGACTAGATCGAGAAGAGGATTAGTTGAGATACACATAAACTAATTCGAACACTCATAACTGTTACACCAAAAAAAAAGAGAAAATATTCTGATGATGTACAAATCAGTCTTGTGCAAGATCAGCAGTCAAAAATATGAATAAAGGCAATCAATGAACAATAAGAAGACAATTAATGGTAAAGCAGTAAACAAATAGCTAACACATAGATTTATAGTGGTTTGGTCTGAATGACCTACTCCACTTTCGTAAACGGCAGTAGTAGCCTAAGTCTTTTATTAATAGGTGAAGTCGCCGAAGAGAGTATTCTCCAAGAGTATTACAGTGCTTAGAGAAGGAGACGGTAAGGTGTATAAGGGGAGGTGTAGAGGCTTCGGAGACGTGCCCCCAATGTTAAGAGGTCGTACATTATATAGTTAGGATAAAACGGTGACGTGAGTGAGAAGTCTTTCACAATTTTGGTAAGTATAATCTTAATAGGATTGAATCTTCGTATCCTGATATTCTTTCCTCACGCCCCTATATCGTCGAAAAAGGATCCTGAGATGGACTAGACTTGGTCTTGACCTTGGACTTGACTTGGCTTGGACTTGCTTTGGAGTTAGGAGGACAAAAGAGGAATAACCACGAGAGTCTAGCCATGGGCGGCACCCCCTTAGGCGTTAGCCTTTGGTGTCTTGGCCCACTTAACTCCTTGTTGATTTACGGTCTCAATTGGACTTTTCTTTAAAGCTTATTTGGATTGGGCTTGGCCCAGAAAAATTTGGGCTCATCATATTTGATGCAACAATCATATTAGCATTGTCACGCGGTATCACTATTTAATAATATTTTAATAAATAAGTAGGTGGACTCCACAAAATTCAATATTTACCTCTATATATATAATATAATAACTATTAATTCTTCTTTGATGTATGATAATAATTAAACTACTCACGTGTAAGAATGAGGAGTTCATCTTATCCACTTGATATTTTTATAATGGACAATGTAATTAGAACCTAATTTATTAAGTTAATTTATTTATATAATTCACTATTATCTTTCGATTGACTGTAGGTCCCATCAAACATTAGAACATGGTGTTAATCTAATGATTCTAATAAAACCACATCATTAAGTCATATTTTTATGTCCAAATGACATAATTCTTTTTATGGAGTAATGTCACACAATTCAAACGAAATTCAAAAAATTGCAACTCAAATGAATATCATCTATTTGATGAGTGTGTCCTATTAACTTTTTTAGTAAGACCCACTCATTCAATGAATGATATACTTTTGAGTTGCACTTTTTGAGTATTATTTGAGTTATTTAATATTTTCTCTTTTTATTATTAGATAATTATACTACATAACAATATTAACGTGGTATCATCATTCTTACTACTAGAGCTCAGCATAACTTGTCTAAAAGCTATGAAATTCCACAAAATTACCTTATCATTTGTTTACTTAACCAATTATAATTTGTTTTTTTTTTTGCTCGTGTAAGATGAGAAACAAGAGTATAAGAGTAACAAACAATCTACAAAACAAAGAAGGACTAAACGAAACTACTACTAACTACTATCTAAATCCCCGTGCAAGCAGAGCATCCTTGCTGGCCGCCTCCCTTACTGTTTGTGGGAGCACTGCCTTGTTGAATATTCCATCCTTCTTGGTAGCTAATCCTCACTTGGCCAAGTTATGGGCAGCTTTGTTTGAATCCCTGTAAACATGGACCATACACCACTCTGGATGGCATGCTAGCAGGTGTTTTATGTCTACTATGATGTTGCTGATAGGCCAAGGAGTTCTAAACTGTGGGAGCATAGCTGCATGAATTACTACTTGCGAATCCCCTTCAATTGTAACATAATTCCATCCCTTTGCATGTGCCCGCTGTGCAGCATTTTTAACCGCCAACACTTCTGCAGTAAGGGGATCCTCACCTTGGTCAAGCTTGGTTGATGCTTCTATTATTCTACCTTATGAGTCCCTGACAAATGCAGCAGGACATGACTCTTCTTTGGCGATTGCCGCATCTACATTGATTTTGATTGTGCCTTCTTGAGGGGGTGACCAACGATTTTGGATATGTCCTACTACTGGCTGCTGTGTGCTTTCCTCCCTTGTTTGAGTCTTGACAGCTTGGAATTCATTGCAAGCATCCAATATTTCTTGTAGGATTTTCATGTGATCAGCTTTTGCATCTCTGAACAGAATGTTATTCCTCCATTTCCATAAGGTTGACATGAGAGTTGCTGCAAAGAGGACTAGTTGGCTATGATATGGGTCGGTGGGGCCAAAAGCTAAGGTTGGGTTAAGGATATTATGAATCCATTTTTGCATTGAAAGGTGGGCAAAAATTTCAATTCTGAGGCCCCATCTGTGAAAACATATCAGGCGGGCAATTGAACAGGTAAAGAATAGGTGTGTTGATTCTGGTGCTTGTTTACAGAAGAGGCATAACGGGTCAGCCATAGGGACTCTTGATGCCAAGATGCTTTTGGTTGGTAGGCTTTCAGTAGTTGCTCTCCATAAAAACATTTTATGTTGTGCATGTAGTGGGAGCTTCCATAGCTTACTCCAATCTGTGGTGCTAAGGAAGCAGTTATTTGCGTCCTTCTCGGTTCTGTGAACTGAATAAGCTGATTTAGAAGTGAATTAACCTGCTGCATTGGGTATCCAGGTCATATAGTCCTCTAATGGGTATGAAGGGAGTTTTATCTTGAGGATAGCTTGTATGGTTAAGGGGCAGAATAAGGTTTAGATCAACTCTTGGTTCCAGGTTTGGCTAGCACTGTCGAATAGATCTGCAACTATGCTTGGCAAGGAATTTAAAACTGTGTTTGGTAGGGAATCTCGATCTTGATTCAATTGAGGCTTAAATGAGGGGATATTATGGATCCATAGGTCTGTCCAAACATTGATTTTATGCCCATTTTGCACAATATAGCATGCACTCCTCTCAATGTTGTGCCTACAATCAAGTATCTGCTTCCATATTCTCGAATCTGTGGTTCGCTTTTCAGCTTGGAAAAAAGAATGTCTAGAGAAATACTTTGTCTGTAGCTGGACAGTCCATAACTTCGATTGTTGAGAAATCATTTGTCAACCCAATTTGGCCATTAAAGCTACATTTATGTCCTGTGTTTTTCTGAATCCTAGCCCCCCCACTGCCTTTGGTCTGCAAATGAAGTCCCATGATTTAATACACATAGCCTTCTTTTCTTCTATGCGTCTCTTCCAAAAGGATCTAATTCTTCTATCAAGTGACTCACATGTTGACTTTGGCAGAAGAGTAGATTGCATGACATAAACTGGCATAACTAAGGTTGTGGTTTTAATCAAAGTAGCTCTACCCGCAAAAGCTAGGAGCTTGGCTTTCCATCCTTGCATTATTTGCTCTAGTTTTTCAATAATTGGCTGGAAAGCTTTTCTTCTAGAACGATCTGGTATCAATGGGAGCCCCAGATATACTGCATCGATTTGCCCTTTTTTGAGTTCTGATCTGATTACTTCCCTGGTTGCATTGGGACTGTAGAAGACTTTTGATTTTTGTTTGTTGATGAATTGCCCTGACCAGTCTTCATATGTTGAGAGGCATTTGACAATAGCTTCAACATCTTTCTTATCTGTTATTCCAAAAATTAACAAATCATCAGCAAACATCAGATGAGTAAATGGCTCACAGTTCCTAGCAATTTTGATTCCTTTGAGGTGTCCTAGTGTGGCTTCCCTTGTAATTAATCTAGAGAGGAGATCTGTATAAATGATGAAGAGGAAAGGCGAAAAGGGATCTCCTTGCCGTAAACCCTTTTTCCCCTTGAAATTTTCTAGTGGACCACCATTAACAAAGACAAAGAAGGAGGGGGTGGAAATGCACTGTTCAACTAATTGAATGAACTATAAAGGGAAACCAATCAGCGATAGAATTTTAACAAGGAGCGACCACTCAACCATATCAAAAGCCTTTGACATATCAAGTTTTAAAGCCATTAGTGCACCTTTTCCTTTTTTCCTTTTCAATTGATGAATGATTTCTTGGGCAAGGACTAGGTTTTCAGCTATATTTTTGCCAGACACGAAAGTTGTTTGGGTGGGGGAGATGATTTGACCAAGGAATGGTCTAATCCTATTAGCTAGGATTTTGGAGATAATCTTATAGGTGACATTACACAAGCTAATGGTTCTATAATGATGAACAGTGGTGGGGTTAGGAGATTTGGGTATAAGGCAGATAAATGTTCTATTCAATTATCTGAGCATGTGACCCCCTGCAAAAAAAACTCTTATCACATCTACAAGGTCATTTCCTATGACATGCCAGTATGTTTTGTAAAAGACAGTGGACTTCCCATTAGGACTTGGGCTTTTAAGTGGAGACATATCAAACAGAATGGTCTTTATTTCCTCTGGGGGTCGGTATGGAATACAAAGCAGCTTGTTGATCTGGTTGGATAATGGGTGTGAAAAGGTGTTGAAGGTCTTCCGGGAATTGGGGATGTGTTGAGGAGAAGAGATCTTGGAAATGTGATGAGAAAATGTTACCAATTTCGTTTCTGTCTGAGATCCAGTTGCCAACTTGATTCTTTAAGCAGTCAATTGAGTTCCTTTTTCCTCTAATTACCGTGGTATTATGGAAGAACTTGGTGCAGACATCACCCTCTTTTAGCCATTGAATTCTAGGTCTCTGTCTCCATAAATCTTCCTCTTTCTTTTGATGTTCTGCTAGCATAGTAGAGAGAATTTTTTCTTCAAGGACATTGTCTAATGTTGGCTCCGCTTGCTGGAGATGGTCGATCCTTCTTTTAAGTTCCTTTGTCTTCTAGATGCAATTCCCAAACTATTCTCTGTTCCATTTTTTCAATCCCTCCTTTGTTGCTTGAAGCTTCCTGTAAAATCTATAGGCAAGTGAGCCCATCATTTATGTTCTCCATGAATTCTTAACCACCAAGTGACTATTCACATCTCTTGTCCATATGACCTCGAACTTGAAAGGTTTAGGGAAAGTGTTCCTATCTCCTTCTGGTTCATCATCTGGCTCTGTGATAGTGTATTGATTGTAGAATTGGGTTAGGTTAGATGGTGCAAGGTCCGCAGGGATTTGTCTTGGGGGTTCAGGGATTGGTGTAGTGTTTTGTTTCTGTGCGTGGGTGCTATCAGATTCAATTTGAGAAATAATGATAAGGGATCTATCTTCTTGCCTGCGTACCTTCGAGTGTCTTTGGTATTCTGGGTCTTCAAAGGGGCTTCGTTTTAGGGACAACTTGTTGATTACCTTAGCAAGACATTCATCAATCAAGTTCAGGAGATGTGGGGGGGGAGTGCTTGTGGTGCTTCCTCATTCAAATGAAGGTTTTTTCCTTTTCCGTTTGGATGAAGGTAAGGGTTTTGGTTTGGGTAAGTTACAGTGTTTGCAATAGTTGATTCCTTTGTAGTTAAATAGTTGTGGTTATGGGTATGGGTTGTATCCGCTTGGGCTTTGGGTTGGTGTGGACCTCCAGATGATGTTTCTTTTAGTGGGAGGTTAGGGCTATGAGTTTGGGTTATAACATGTTGGGCTTTCAGGTGGTGTGGGCTTTTTTGTTGGGTCATTTGTTGAGTTTGTTGTTGGCTTTTTGTTAGGCTTTGTTGGTTGGGTGTAATGGTAAATTCCTTGGTTGACAGAATTGGAGGTGGGTTAGGGTTTGTTGTATCATGGAAGGAGGCGAGCCTTTGGGTAGAAGGTTGTTTGCTGTGTGTCCACGTGTATTGCTGTCAGAGGATAGTATCAGCGGTGGTGTGCGCATGATGTATGACCTCGGATCGTGCATTGTGCCTGGCAGTACTGTGGTCCTTGGTGGTACAGAGGCTAGGGCTTCACGCGTCATCTCCGATGGTTCAGATTCTAAATTTTTTGATGGTTCAGATTCCAAATATTTCGGTGATGCAATTTTCCGTGTTGATTGTTCCTCAAGGGCTGTCCATGGCGAGGCTCACAGGTGGGGCTCATATGCCAAATTATATCCCATGGTACTCGAAGATTTACACCCATTTTGATCATGGTCTAGTCTCCCGCATCTATAGCAAAAATCCCCAAGCCTTTCATATTTCAAGCTAATGAGTTTGTCTGAGAGGTCTTTTCTTGGCATCTAAAGGTGGGTTTGGAAGGGTTTTGTTAGATCAATCTGAACTCTGGTGCGGATGTAGTTTTTCCATTTTATTTTTTGATGAAGGAGTTGTTATGGTATGACTAGCGTTCCCAATGCTTTAGCAATCTTCATAGCATTATCCTTTGTCATCATATCTGGTGGAACTCCATGAGGTTGAACCCAGAAAGGAGTTGAGTTGAATTGCATGTCAGTAATGGCAGTTTCTGGGGTCCATTGTTTTAGAACCATGAACTGCCCTTTTATGTTCCATGGACTCTAATTGAGAATTCTGAGTTTGTGCTCCTCCTCTGTGAATATGAATATGAATATGTCACTTTCACCTTTTTTGATTTTCACTTTTTCTTTGGCATTCCAAGCCCTTTCTAGTATGGCTCTCGTGGCATTCTTGTTGATTTTTTTTTTCTATGTATAGTTTACCTATGAGGCAAGAGTGTGTTAGGAATAGGGTTGTAATTGAGTCTGATTGTAGATTTATTCTGAGGCTATTTGTTTCAGGTAGGTTTTCCATCTGGTTCTCCATTCAGGGTGAACTATTGAAGGTCACCTACGTAGGATAAGAAGAGGGGCTAGGAACAGGGGATTAGTGACGGTAAAAAGTTTATACAATGAAGCAGGGGAGGGGAGTGGGGGCTGTGATGAATGAAAATGAAGAGGTGGGTAAATCTATGAATAGGACAGAGGAGGGTTTTTTCCTTTGGGTGAAACGCAATAGCTGTAAGATGGAGGATGGTGAGGGGGGAGCATGAAAAAAAATGAAGGGTTTCTTGTGGATAACTAATGAAGGGTTTCTATTTTAATTTTTTTTGACTAAATTATATTGGCACCCCTTGATATTTAGTTTTATTACATGAACACCCCCTCACGTTTTCAAAATTACACTGAGACCCCATAAAATAAACGTTGTTAACGGCACAAACAAAAAGACCATTTTACCCTCACATTAACTACTCATAAAGACCTAAGATCCAATACCCAAAACCCAAGATCCAAAACCCCCCCTCTGAAAGCTGACCCCCCCACACATTTTTTTTTTCTTTCTCTCTCACGATGAATCGAAGCCCCAACAACCAATAATCTCACACTCTCTCTCTCTTTCTCACGACGAATCAAAAGCCCCAGCAACCAACACTTAGCAACAACCACAACTGATCCATCAACACTATCGCCACCCATAAGATTTGATCCCCAATTGGCGCACGAGCAAATGTTTACCTAGAGCTTGTGATCTCCATCATCTCTCTCTGTGTGATCGATACCCTAGGTGGTGGAATCGATAGTGATGGAAGGATTTTGCAGGTGGTGGTTGTTAGTGGATTTTGAAACCCTAACCTCTACGATGTGGTGGTATTGGTTGATGATGGGTTTGGTCTAGGTGATGGTTTTAATGGTGGTGGAGGCAGGGGTGGTTTCAATGGATTTGGTTTTAGTCTCTCCTCTCTTTCTCTGGTGGTGACGCTGGGTCTGACTGGGTTTGGAAGTTTTGTTGGGTTTAGATGGTGGAATTGGTGGTGATGGGTGGGTTTCGGTGGTGGACTGGTGGTAGGAGTTAGAATTTATGTAATTAGATAAATAATAAATAAAAATAAAATTAATATGGTATAATTGGATAAATAATTATTAAAATTTTATACTGTACTAATAATCTCAAATATTATTTAATAAACAAAAAAAAATTAAAAATTAACTTATTAATGTAATAGATTAGGAAATTAAACATTTAAGTTTTAATTTATATATGAAATATATATTAAAAAAAATAAATGAAAAGTTGGGTAAATTGGTAGGGCAAGAAAAACATTTATTTGAATTTTTAAACTTAATTGTAGAGGGTATTTTTGGTATTGTATGAATTATTATTGATGACATCAGTTTTGATTGTAAATAATTCTAACATAGGTTAGTTGGAAGGGATATGATTGTTACAAGTATTAAATGTCAAAAAGAGTTCGATTTTATTTTTAAAATGTAAGGAGGTGTCAATGTAATAAAATCAAATATCAGTATAATTTACCCATTTTTTTTTCGCTTCTATATTTTTTTCTGTTATTTTATTTGCATTTGGGTACTGTATATGTTCCAACCCCTAGTAACTTATAGAGGGAGAAAAAAAAAAAAAAAAGACTGAGGTCAAATCTTTGTCGGTGGGAATATAAATTATAGATAAACCTGTGCTGCTTACGGTGATGTCGGACTTATTAAAACGTCAATTCTAACCGATTAAGTTTATTTAATCAACACGTTTTGTTGTCTAGTTTAATCTAATTGATATTGTCAAGTCCAATGTCGGAGCTACATGTACAGGTGTGTGGGCAGTTGCCATCATTGACCATTGGGGGACCACCAAATATACAGTGTATGGCAATAAAACAATTATCAAATAATCTCATTGCCCCCCTTAATTTTTTGGAATTTTTTAATAATACCCCCAGTCTTTTTTATTTTTAGTAAGTTAGTAATTCACTCGTCACTTAATCTACTAAGATAATTAAATATTGTCTGTTGAATTAATTTTTTTTTTTCATTGAATCTTTGAACTTAATATATTTCTCATAAATTTTTTTGTTTGAAATTTGCACCGAATTTAGTCCTTATTAATGGAGATGTACGATTTTTTTTAATACTAGCTAGTTATATTTTGTATTTATGCATTTGCCCTCCACTAGGATAGAATCCTAACTCCGCCCCCAGTCAGGTTGACGAAGAAAAAAAAAATTGTTTAATTTTATTTGAGTATAAGGAATTATTAAATCTAAAAAATTTGAGAGACGAGTAAACAAAATAGATGATAAAGAGTAACAAAAAGGGAATTTTTTATTAATCGGCAAAGTAGTTTGAAAAATTATGATTTATTATCTTAAATTGACAGCAACCATTTAATTGGTAAACTCGTAATATGCAACTGCAGCTCTTTAAATCTTTATTTTTAAATAATTCATATGACTTCAGTGAGTCTTCCCCTGTAATACTTGGAATTTTCGTGAGTCGTTGCTTTACGTGACAGCTAATATTACGAGTCTATGGTTGGTATCACCTTTCGCTATTTTTTACCATTAAATATGGCATAGTCGCCATACAAAAATTCTTCCAAGACATTACATATAATTTTAGAAAATTTTCAACCATACTTCTTCTAGTTTATTATATTTTTAAAAATATTTTTTTTATTTTTTGAATTTTCATTGACACCCTGAGTTATATTAAAGGCCTTAATTAGAATATAATTTTACTAAATTGATCATGATATATTTTTGAAAAAATTTCATCCACCCCTCACTAGATAGACATATCTTCAATGAGACCCATTTTATTTTATGATTTTTTTATATATTAAAACTGGATTCGAGCTGATTAAAATTTTTAATAGGCTCGAATCAAAGTTGAATCAACTCGCATTGAATTTTAATCAACTCGAATTTTGATATGTAAAAAAAATAAATTTTAATCGATTTAACTTTTAATATATAAAATATGAATTTTAATTAATTTGAATCAAATTTGAATTTATATTTTTTAAAAATTTAACAATTTCATTGAGGCCAGACTATAACAGATCTATCTGTTCTAAATTTTTTAATTTTGAAATGAATGATATATCTTTTGACCGAGGCGAATAAAGAATTAGTCGGAAGTCTGGTTACTTGACTCAGAAAACCCCTAACCATAGTACCCAAAAAAAAAAATTCTATCTATTGGATGGGATTTAAAGGGCTAAAAAAATACAGCCCAATCCTCCTACCAGCCAAACATCCAAACTTGACCCAAGAGGAGTATGGGCCTGGAAGTATAACCCACTTCATTTCAGTCCAGCAAGCCTGAACAGGCCTTGTCTAGTTTTCTTGAGAGAAGGGAAACCAAACCACGCAAATTTGTATACTACGCCCAAATCGCCAAATCTCTTACTTTAATTTTACCACAAAATCTTTCTTAGCTCTCCGATCAAATCATCAATTCCGAATATGAACGTAAGTCTCAGACTGCAATGTTCGTTCATACTTTCCTCCCATAAAACTAGGTATTTCATTTGAATATTTTGTGTTTTTTGCAGTCGGTGGACTCAATTCCAGCTAAAAATAGCTTATTAAGCTCTCAAGCAGAATCTGAAAGAACTCTGTACAGCCCTCTCTATCTGCGTGTGTGTGTGTGTCGATTTATTGTGCATAATATATATGCCTGTTCGTATGATATGGAGCTTGGTGTGGATTTTTACTGTTAATGCGGTATGGAGTTATGATTGGGATGAGTGTTGGAATAGGTACCCGTACGTGACGGGCACATCGGTGATCGGCATCAAGTACAACGATGGTATTCTCTTGGTTGCTGACATGGGAGGTTAGATGCCACACCGGCCTATACTAATCTTCATTAAGCACGATTTATATGCATTTCGCATGTCTAATTTGATTTCGATCTCGATGTTTGGGTCCATGGTATAAACACTACAGTAACTCGAATGGAGGAGTTTAATAACAGAATTTAATTTATTAACCAGTTGTTTGGTTTGCTGGGTATAACTTAGTTTTGTAAAATTCCTTTTCTTGTGCTGGATTGTTTTCATTTTCATTGTTTTCTTCTACAAAACACGAGTATTAACTAACTGAGACTTATGATTGATACCGTAGAAAGTCTCTTTCTTTCTTTCTTTTTTGGTTCAAGGGTTAGAGGTGTCCGGTTCGGTTTACGCACACCATGACCAATCATCCCTCTGGTTTGGTTAAAGGGACGTCATGCACACTGAGACTAGGTTATTGGGATCTCGCCCCAAGGGGTTGACAAGTAGAAAGTCTCTTTCATGACAAGCTATTTTCTACTCTATAGTTCTATACTACCAGTGCAAGGCCTCAGCCTTGTCACGTTTGAGGTACTCTGCTTCCCAGTTGCTTCAAGCATCACCACCTATATGGAGGCCAAATACCATTGCATTTAGCAAAATTTGTGCTGTTAATCTTACGTTTGTAAAGAAAAATAGAAAATACCATGCTTAACAGGTAAAATCATATAAAAAAATCAAATTGTAATAATTATTTAATCGAGTACTGTCCGACATTCTGAGTACAATTATTTATGGTGTACTGTATTTCATGTTCATTCTGTCATATATTCAATAAGATTCACTATATCGCTAAGGAGATAAATCAGCAATATGTCAGTCAATTGCAAACTTATGTGGGAGCACAACAACAAATTGCGCAAACACCATCTAGATTTGTTATGAAGAATGTATAATGAACATTTGGCATCATTGCAATGAAAATTTATAACTGATCCAAATTAGTTAGCTAGATTATGAATAACAAGTTTCTTACTTCAAAATGCTGTAAACAATAGAGGCATAAATTACTGTGATGTTCACTTGCCCATGGAATATTTGATTCTGTTTTTCGACATTTCATTTCTGATTCGGTAACATAATGGTTAGACACATCCAAATCAAATGTTAGCAATATTTGGTAAGGGAGAAGAAGAGAAAGGTAACAAAGACAAGTCGGGTGGGAGGGAGGCTCCGGCATAATAATATTCAGTGACATACATTTCTCTTTCTCTGCTTGTTTGCCCTCAGTTTGGAACTGATCTACGGAAAGGAAGAGATTAATAAATCATATTCCATCCTTTCTGACCTCTGTGCCAGTGGTGGTGCAATCAATGGGAATTTGGTTATTGGGGAAAAATCAACTGGGGCAGAGTAAAGCATTGGGTTTAACTCTTATTTGGTGTCAAGGTAATAGCTATGAATTGTCATCGATTTAAACACAGGGAATGGTTAGTTTCATAAGACCCCCCCCAAAAAAAAAAAAAAAAAAACCCCTCTCTTCCCTTCTCCTCCTCTTTAAAAAAAAGGAGTCATATCTAATGTACAAGGTCGGACTCAAACCTGCAACTCAGTTAGTTTTTTAAGAAAAAAAGTGTGAGCAGTCTGATGGAATATGTCACTGTATTATATTATTGAAGAACCTACTTTGAGGTTTTCAACAATCATAAAATCTATTCAACAGAGAGTAAAACAACTTTATTTACTAGAAAAATTATGGTGCCCCGTAGTTTCAACTTGCTGATCAGTGTAGGTACTGCACACGAAGGATTGTCCAATGAAGTATAGCTTTTCTGCACCATGCAGGCTCATGAACAACATGAAGAACTTGTGGATGGCTCAGCTATATTAATAGTTCCAACGCCTTTATTAAATGCAGCATTGAGTGCCTTATGTGTGTTGCATCCGGAAGGTGGACCAAAATTCATAATTTGTTCTTTGTGACATTGAAGAACAATATTTTTATTAGGTTGAGATGGTACACCTTAGCTGATGAAATTGAAGTGTCTTCTCTATGTAGCTACCATTCCTCTTAATTGTGAGAAAAAGTGAAACCAATTTGAAGAAATGAGGCCAATCACCTTTGTTGGTCTCTTGAACTTGAAGTGGCTAGGCCATGTGCCATGTCATTCTATTCCTTCATCTCCTCTTACTGCCCCATTAAAAACTTCTGAGCTTGTTAAAGGGAAAATTCTCACCTAGATTTAAAGTTCAGGTAATTTCCTAATGCTTAATGTGATATGAACAAGAAATTTAAGTTTTAGATACTACCTATTTGATTTTGGCAATCTAAGAGGTCCGGTCTGGGAAGTTAGATTTGAGTGTGTGGATATTTAGATTCAAAGAGTTGATAATATAGTGAGTGCAAATCATTAGGGCTATAACCCTAAACATTTGATAGTAATACAGATTATTGTGTTATGCTTGTCCCATTCCTGCTTTCATTCTGAGTAGCTGATTCATATGTTAACTATTTAAGTACATCAGTGTCATGTAATTTATGATTCATTCTACAGGTTCCTATGGGTCCACCCTGCGTTACAAGAGTGTGGAACGATTGAAGCCAGTGGGGAAGCATTCTCTTATTGGTGGGGGTGGAGAAATCAGTGATTTCCAGGAGATATTACGCAAACTCGACGAGCTTATGTAAGTTTTATTTCTGTGTGTTATTTGCATACAGATATCCTGGTGATGGTACTTCTGTGTGTTATTTGCATGTTCTTACCAAGAGGTTTTGAGTACTTTGATGATGCAGCTTGTATGACAATATGTGGGATGATGGGAACTCGTTGGGCCCTAAAGAGGTGCACAGTTATCTATCTCGGGTGATGTACAACCGCCGCAACAAGTTCGATCCATTTTGGAATTCACTTGTACTTGGTGGAATGAAAAAAGGACAGAAGTATCTTGGGACGGTAATCTTTGGTTCATCCATTTTCTGATGCTCCCTTAAAAGCCATCTACTTTTGGGGACGTGACTCGTTTTGTATGGGTAATGGTTTCAGGTCAATATGATTGGTGTACATTATGAGGACAATCATGTTGCAACTGGATTTGGAAATCACCTGGCACAGCCTATTCTTCGGGATGAATGGCATGAGAACTTGAGTTTTGAAGACGGTGTCAAGTTATTGGAGAAATGCATGCGTGTGCTTTTGTATCGTGATAGGTCTGCTATCAACAAGCTTCAGGTCTGGTTCTTTCTGATAGAATTCACTTAATGGCTACTTGGAACGCCTATGACCCTACACGAGTGATATCTTTGTTATTCTATTCTGGAAACAGCAACACTTTTTGCTGTTATTATTACTTGAAAAGATCTAAATGGCATAGTAAAGTGTTTGATTTCGAAATATGTGTCCTGCAACAAAGGCCATAGATTTGATCAACTGTAAACCCTTTTATCATCATGGAATGATTCATATAATTTACCACAAAAATCTGGTTTTGTTAAAACCATTGGAATTTCAGGGCGTTACTGAATTTCTTAGGTTCATTGGAAGTTGGAAGAGACATTGAAATTGCTCTTTCTTAATCATGTTGCTGTAGAAGCATAATTAAATTCTAATATATACTCAGTGTTATATCTTTTTAGCTTTTTCTGTTTCCTTTCCTTTTGTTTCTTTTTTTTTTTTTAATTTTCTCCAATATATGTTAATATATTTTGTGGATATAGGTACATAGGTTTTTTGTTAAGTTCTCATGTTTGGTGGCTGAACAAGGTTTCCATCTGTTCGAGTGGAGTGAGTGACCAACCGTCCCTATAAATCTGCAAGAAATATTGCGGCCATATTTAATGTTGTATAAAATGCTTAGTGCACTTCGGTCTGCTATTATAATTTTAGCAGAAACAGAGTAGATTCTAGGTTCTATGTTGGGAGTGACTTGCATCTGTGTGTCTTCACCTGAAGCTTGGTTCTTCATTTTTTTACAGCACTTGCATTAGTAGTTATTTTGGTGCAGGACTGTTGATCACCTGGCTGTACTTCGTATGCTTGTACTCACAGACTAATGACTCAAACCAGATCATTTGAATTCTTTGCCTTTATATCTCTTAGAAAAATAACTCTTCAAAGGTTTGACAATATTGAAATGGATGGCTGTGAATCATGTGATCATCCTGCATTTGTATTGAGAATCGTATTTGTGTCATATGGTATTGTGTCCTTTTTGAGCCCATTTATCTGAGGGCAAGTGTCATTAGAGTCCAAGTCCTTTCTGATGTATTGTGTTTGAGAAATGCTCCCTATTGTCAATGAGAATGCGAAAGGTGCAGTTGAAGTGATTTGGCTACCCTAGTTCTAGCCGTGCCTTATGCAATAAGAGAAATGGTGTTTGAAGTGATATGTGAACCCAAATTCATGACCTTTAATAATAAATTATGGATTTCAAACCTTTGTAATCTACAAGCAATGAAGAGTTCTAAATTAGGATGGAAACTTGCTGGCTGTTTGTGTTTCGTAGTTATGATTATTACCCATGGATACATGTTTTCTGTAGTTAATTTGTTTGTAGTGGGAAGCAGTTAAGTTCCTTTGAACATAGTTGTCCAGATATTCTCTCATTTTAAGAGTTACTTAATGGTGCCCTATTTGTGGAAGAGAAGAACATAACCTTTTTCATGGCGGATTTTTGTTACGCCTAAATAAAGTTGTATGAACTACTGAACTTCTATTTGTCTTGCAAAGAACAAAAGGCTTTTGTACGAGAAAGGTGTAAAAACTGCTGAACTTTATAGAAAAAAACTCAGATGTATTTGGTTTGTAGAAAACAAAAAGATTGAGACATGGTAGTGTTTGAGAACTTATTTTATTTCTGATATGAATTATTTTTGAAAATTGCAGATAGCGAAAATCACAGAAGAGGGTATAACAATATCTCAGCCATATGCATTAAAGACATTCTGGAATTTCTCTGCTTTTCAGAATCCGACATTGGGTGCTGAGGGGTCATGGTAGCCAGTAGCATCATACTGCCCTTAAGTAATGCCTTTGTGCGGACTAGAAATGCAGGAAGTTGTGTGTGTGTGTGTGTAACGTATAAGTTTGCTGCATCTTTACTTTGATGTAGAAGTTATGTGGTAATATTCACTCTATCCGTGCGTTTGGTTGAACCCGATTTTTCTGATGCTCTTCTTGGGAATTTGTTCTGGTCCTATTGTCCTATGATCATTTACATTCTCTTTTCTATATTGTTGATTGCTCATGATCACTGTGCTTTTTGGTAGGGTATTGAACTGTCTATACTGCTTTGTTTTTTATCTGGTAAGTGCCTGTCTATACTGTTGTGTATATAAGTTGGGAAGACATTTGGATGAGTAGAAACACTTTCGAAGTTTCGATTCAAACAGGTTTAGGGCAAAAATGTTCATTGTCAGAAGGCATGGGCAATGAGAAAGTGTAGGTTTTCTTCAGAATGCAATTGACATGTAACTTTGTTTACACACAGACATAAAGGAAGCACAACCGGAGTTGGTAGGAATGAAGGAGGAGACACCCTTTTTGGATTGGTTAAACTTTGCCCCCTTCAAGTTATGAGATTTTGTCACTGTCTCAACCATCATGTTTCTCACCTTGCACCTGTAATTATGGTTATTAAATTCATAATGCTCAAATGATTAACGCCAATTAAAAATTTGATGGAAATTAGTTTCGTTTGACCCTCAAATTATGTGATTTTGTTTCGGTCTCGACAAATTGACTTTTTTTGTTTTGGGCAGTGTGAAATTCAGATGGTTGAGGGGATAATTTGAGAAATTTAATAATTTAGGGGTCAATTCTCATAGTTTGAAGGGGAAAGTGTAATTAATCCAACTCGTTTTTGATCTAGGTGCCATGTATGTGGTGAGTCAAGAACTTTGTTCAATTGGTTGATCTTCTAAAAACCGTTGGATCTCAAAAATATCAAGGATTCAAAATAATTAATTAAACGTCCAAGAAAATAAAACAAGAAGGAAATAATAAAACATGAAGATGACAAAATGCTCCAAAAATTAACATAAAAAAAAAAAAAAAAAGGCTTGCTGTTATTCAATGGCTTCTTGAATCCAAAGACCTTCTGACTTCTGCACAAAAACAAAAGCAAGAATTGCCAATTTAAAGTCTGCAAGTCTAACAAACTATTCATCCTAAACAAAATTGTATGAGCAATGCTATTGGGATATAATGTGGAGACATAATGTATTGTCACCAATGATATGATAATGAATTCATTTAATGCTACAATGGGACTCATCAATTAATACATTTCACTATCACTTCATTGGTGACAACTCATTATGTCCCAATAGCATTAGTGAAATTGTATAGGACAGGAGAATGATTGAGTCTGATTTTTAATAATTTAGATGTCTCAGATTCAATCACTTTTTACATCCTTAAGGGTCGGTCACCCTTGTTACTCAAGAATATGTTCTAACTCACCTCAAGTCATAGTGACAATTACTGAATTCGAAAGAATAATCGGTGCAAACTTAAACATTTTATAACCCAAAAAAAAAATCATCCTGCACAAACTAGGACATTATATGGGCCAAACTTTCTAAACCCATTAAAATTTTACTACAAACTAATAAAAAATAAATAAAGAATAAAACACACCCAAAGAATTTCGGTCAAATAACAAATAAGGATATGAAATTTTGGAACAGATCAATCCTGTTTACTTTTCAAATGATGCAAGATGTATTACCATTTACAGACACACAACTGGACCCTCAGTTTCCCATTTCTTTCATAAACTGCCTACTACTGGCCTGTCCCATTTCTGATTTTAGCATCAACCCCTGCGATTTGAAAGGATAAACTGCCATTATCCCAATCACGTGCCTTTTACATTTTTAATTGTAAAATAAAACTAGTAGGATGGAGGCAATTGCTTGATACTTGCTCCCAATGAAGGAGTCGGTGAAGAGATCAACAGTTTTTATTTATTTATTACAGTATATCTAGATTTGTGTCGACTATTCCTTCGAATTCAGTAACTTATCACCGTAGTTTAAACTGATTTAGAGCATGTACCTACAGGGACAAGGATAGTTAATCCTTAAAAAATGTTAAAAATTATTGAATCGGAGAAGAGATCAACCGTCGTCGACCCACAATTAGAAAGACTAGAAATTGGAAGCTCACACCTGAAGCTAACTTGTCACACACTTCTTGTAGTAGACTTGGCAACTGCACTGCCCCCAACATATAAACCCTAGATGCACAAAATCACCCACAAAGTTATCTGCATTGAGTTAAACTAATACAAGCATTTTACCTTGAGATACCATTTTACCTGCAATACAAGCATGGTTTTGTGATGAAAACGCAAACAAAAAACACAAATGGAAGAGAGAAGTACAAAACTAGATGAAGACAGTTTTTTCTCTGGATTATTTGATTTGCAGCAAATTCAACGTTCTCTACGGAGGAGGGATGACGCTGCCACCCCAATCTAACGTAGATCGGACATGGGCGGCGTCATCTCTCCTGCGTAGGGAACCTTTCCTTGCTTCTCCTTCCCACCTGGCGTTGTGTATATTTTGTGTCATGCAGGCGGCTTATTTATGGAGGAATTATACTTGTTTATAACACTTTTTTTTTTTTTTTTACGTGGGAATAATATATACATATTTTCAGCACAGTACAAAACATATAGAGACTGATCACAGTGTACGAAGGTAGATGAAGACTAATACGAAAGGCTATTCTATCATTGCTTGATCGTTACCGATTTGAATTACAAATGGATTTTTCATCCATGTAATACTTTGTATAGTTGATCTTCCTAGATTTAAAAATGATAAATATTTTAATATTTTAAAACAAGATATACACATTTCCATTTGTACGGCGCAGATAATCCTAAAATATTTTTGGGTATGATATCGTAATTTTAAGATATTAATATTAAAATTATAACTTAATTTAAAAAATAAATTATTTACAATTAATCATAATATTTTAAGGTGGATCTAACTTCTAAGAACTTAACCCAAATAGATTAAAATTAATTCTTATTTAGTTACAATCCTCATTATTTGAACAACAGCATGATTGGTTTGTGTGGTTGAAACAAAAGCCAGGTCCTGAGTGCTGACCTCAATGCATGTACGTCACCTATGTGACTCAATTTAAACCTAAAAAATTTGATTTAATTTGTTGACATAATGATGTAATTTAACAAAATTTTTAGATTAATACTAAATTTTAATATTTAGTGGATCCCACAATTAATTCAAAGATCATAATAAATTAGGTCAGTAAATTAAATCAGGACATCATTTGCAAATTATTTTGCCAAAGCCGCCGTTATATTATTGGACCCGGTCCCACCTGCACTTTTCATCTACTAAAATTTAGAGTTTTTTTTTGAATGCCGACACTTAGCCCAATAAGATTTAAAAAAAAATTTACTCCTCAATTTACTTTTAACCTGTGTATCTGATTTTTTTTTATCAAAAAAAATAAAAAATAAAAAAATAATGATGATGTCATCACTTAATTGAAAAGTCAAAACAATGAATAAAATTAACGTCTTTTAAAATTATAAAAATAATGATGATGTCATCACATAATTGAAATATCTATTTTAAAAAATTATGTTATGATAATGTACCTTCTTTCCATAAACAAAGATAGTTAGACACGTACACTAAAAAAAATTATCTATTTTCGATTAATGTATTATAAATTGATGATTTGCAGGTACATTAAAATACATATTACTAATAACAACTGAATTCAGTGTATTTATGGAACAAATATATTGAAGTAAGTATATATTTATTTAATTGAGAAGAAGATACATATACGTCATTACAAGTACATTAATACATAAAATCAAACACAATTTAAAATTAATCTTATCCCACCATTTAAAAAAAAATGAGACCGAAAGAGAAAATTTTGTTTGACCTTTGTTAATGTGAAAGGTATGGGGGTAGGTGAAATTTTGAACTTTGGAGGTAATCTAGCATTGATTAGCATGACAAAGTAGGTTGATTTGGGAGAATTTTTTTTTTTTTGATAATTTTGATTCATTGAATTGAATGAATTTCAGCCACATTTATGCTAAACTAATGTTGCATTTGATAAACCACATGTTTTTGTTTTTTTCCATTTTTGTTTTCATTTTTTATCAAATTTAAAAAAAAAACGCATTCAGGATGTGTTTTCATTTTTTTAAGGTACTTTTTTTTTGAAAACAAGGTCCAAAAATGTAAATAGAAAGAAAGTGTTTTCATAAACACCTAAACACACAACTAGGAGCACGCTAGGGGTCTCCTCTTTAATGAGATCTGGACTTTAAATCTTGTTAATAGTAAAAAATAGCAATTTTTTACCTAGACTATAAAAACTTTCTTTTTATCTGTTCTTCCTTCTCTCTTCTGACGTTAAGAGCCTCCACTCCTCCATCGTCTCTTGCCTCTTAGATTTGTTGCTCAGATTTTCTTGATCGCTATTGCTACATCTCAGATTTGTTGAGTTGTCCATCGATTTCGCATCTCATAACTATTATGTTTGTGAATTTGTGTGTGCGTGCGCGCACGTTTGTGTGTGTAAGTGTGTGTTGGTGAATGAGTATCTGTGTATATGTGCGTGTGTTTGCTTTGGTATATGGGTTTGGGTTTCCTTTTTTTTTTTTTCAGTTTAATTTTTTGTGATAAAGTTGTTATTTTATTGTTTAGAGATGGTTTTGAATTTTCAATTAAATTACAATTGCATTCTAAATTGATTGTCATGTATGTTGTTACATAGAGTCAAAGATAAATTGTAGCCTTTAAACGGTGAACAAAGAAATATATTGCTATGTTGTAACACTGAGATTTTGAGTTAATTTTTGTATCAGAAAATAAATATAAAGTTAAAAATTGAGATATAACTTGAAATGGTTATCAAACATGTTTTTTATTTTTATTTTTATTTTTATAATTTTTTAAATATAAACGATTACGCAAATATATTTTTTGTTTTTAATTTTTACCACAAAAAAAATAAAAAATTGTTTCTTTTTTTTTTTTTTAAAAAAATATATAAAACAAAAATATTATCCAACACAACTTAAATTAAGAGATTCAAAATGGATCATATTTTATTATATAAATACGCTGCCCTCAGATTCTCTCTGTCTCTTGATCATTGCAATATGCATTTTCTCGTAAAAACAAGCCACCCTGGTCCCTGGTCCCATGCAATGCACCGTACTCTGAGAAAGAGGTGGATTCACCTCTTCAATATTGATAAAATTTATGTTAAATCATTTGAGATAAAAAAAAAATTGATAAAAAATCTTGATTAGGGTAGCATTGTCGATGTCTTGATCACACTAGGCACCAAGTTTTATCGATGTGGCTTGTGGCAGGCAAAAACCATGGGACCTACTCTTTGGATAACTGGGAAATTTCAACCACATCCACAGTTCCATCTACCAATTTTCACGTGGGTGGTCAATAATTGGAAAATGACCCCACTTTGGGCCATAGTGCCAATTGTAATTTTATAAAAAAATAAGATATCCAGTTTAATAAAGAAATTGGACTAATTTTTTAAAAAAAATATTTTTTTTTGTCCCGATATATTGGACTAATTCAATCGCAATTTCATTGGATGTGATTGATCGAATGCGTGGACATTGGTGGTTCTCTTGCTGGCTAATGTGGCTACATTGCAACCATGCTTGCCATTGCCAGGGTGGGTTCTAATGTGAGGTTCACAAGTGGAAAACTGGACTTAGTTCACTTTCATCAGTTACTTTGCAGATCATGGTACGATAGTGTTTATATATTTAACAAAATATATATATATATATCCTCCCGTGTTTGGATTCGAACATACTACGTAGCATGAAAGGAACCATAAATGTTTGAGAGAATTATATTTAGGTTATTTGAAATTTATTATTTAATCACTTAAATCTTTGATATTTAAAATATTATATACAGAACTCTAAAATTTATATGTACGCAACACTCAAATCCACGTCGTCAATGTTCGTTAATATATTCATTAATAAATTACACTCAGACTCCCTAAAGTTTGTAGACATATAACACTTAGATTTTTTAAGTTTAAAATATTACACTTACACCCGTTACTAATTACAAAACTAACGAAATCTATTAAACGGCCAAATTACCTCAATTAAAGATAGAAGATATCTTGTCCATTACAGTTTGACATTTTGTTTGATTTTTTAGTTTTATTCTAATAAATAGTATAATTATATACTAATTATGATTTTTAAAGAAAAAATTAAATTTTATTTTAATAAATGATATAATAAAATATGAATTTTAGTTGACTATTTTAAAATTAAGGGTAACCTGTGCCTAAAGACAAAGTGCAACATAAACCAACCGATTAATGTGAATGATTTTGAAAAAAATGTTGATAATAGTTGAATAAGTCTATTTGAGATATTTAGATATACTTATTAAAGCTTTTCATGTTATATATTATAGAAGATTATAAATATTTGATATTTTATCTTTGATTGGACTATTTTTAATTTAAATATAATATTTTAAACTTGAAGAATCTAAATATTACACACTTAAAAACTTTAGAGTGTCTAAATGTAATTTACTAACGAACATTAAGACAAGGGTTTGTTAAGCATATACAAAATTTAGAGGTCTATATATAATATTTTAAATATTAAGAAATTTGAGTCGTTAAGTGACAAATTTCAGAAAATTTAATTGCAATTCTCCCTTAATGGATTAGACTAGTTAAGAAAGGAGCAGCAGGAAGGCGGTAGCCCCCGCTGGGGTAGTAAAAATCTCTTCTGCCCTCTTGTCACGGTCTGTTCCCACATTCATCATCCCTCCAGCACCAGCTCCTCGTCACTAACATCTCTTTCAACCACCACCATAAGCTACTGACGTTACAACCTTCTGTTCTATGTCCACAATGCAACTGATCCAGAGATTGATTGTGCACAAGAACCCTTGATGATACTCCAAAACCTCGTTCATAACATAATATCGACTAAACTCCACTCAATAATGGTGTTTTAGCCAGATCTTTATAATGCCTATTTGAATTCTCACACGTAGAAAAAAACAACATTATCTAATTCTAGCAGATTAAGCACTGCCGCCTAAAAAAAAGGAAGAGAGAATGCTACATTACAAGAAGACACTATATCTAATTCTAGCAAATTAAGCACTTCCACCGTAAAATCGAGAATGCTACCGTGTAAACGTTGATCTGTAAAATGAGTAGCAAGCAGAATGAATCCAACAACAAAACCTTCTGTTATCTGCAACAACCAACATTCATAATCTGCAATGTGATTTTTTTTCCCGGGAACATTGACATGCCACCCAATCAACAACTGAACACCAATTATATCAAGAATAGAATGTAACCAAATGTATCATAAGAGGGTACATAGGAGACACCAACAATGCAGATTGCTTTGTTGCCTATCAACCAACCCAACAGATATCTCCTGTAGACCATGAGAATATAACCAAGAATAAAGACAGAATAGCTAAAAATCAAATGGTTCATTAATAAAGCAACATCCTCACAAACACAAACACAAACATTCTTAACTCAAAATCAAAGACAGAATATGCCACCGCCTGTCAAGCACCCAATTCTGGGAAAGGCTGACAGACATACAAGGCATAAAACTGCAACAAACAAAACATAATAAAGACTTACCTAGTATTGCAGAATTAAAACATAAAAAAGACATGCCTAGTATTGCGGTATTGAAAAAAGGAAAGTTTCTCTCACACACTTTATTATTATGATAGTTTGTTTCAACGGTAGCACTGAGAGCTTGAACCCTCACGGTTCACTTGGCACCCTTCTTAGCTGCAGCCTTGGTGACTTTGGCACCAGTGGGATCCTTCTTCTCAACACTCTTAATCACTCCCACGGCAACAGTTTGACGCATATCCCTAACAGCAAAACGACCAAGAGGTGGGTACTCAGAGAATGTCTCCACCACCATAGGCTTGGTGGGAATCATCTTCACCATACCAGCATCACCATTTTTAAGGAACTTGGGCTCCTTCTCAAGCTCCTTGCCAGATCGTCTGTCAATCTTGGTCAAAAGCTCAGAAAACTTGACAGCAATATGGGAGGTGTGGCAGTCAAGAACCGGGGCATAACCATTTCCAATCTGACCAGGGTGGTTCATGATGATAACCTGAGAGGTGAAGTTGGAAGCCTCCTTAGCAGGGTCATCCTTAGAATTAGAAGCAACAAATCCACGCTTAAGATCCTTGACAGCAACATTCTTCACGTTGAAACCAACATTGTCACCTGGCAGGCCCTCCTGAAGAGCCTCATGGTGCATCTCAACAGACTTAACTTCAGTTGTCAGACCAGTGGGTCCAAAGGTCACAACCATACCAGGCTTCACAACGCCGGTCTCAACACGTCCGACTGGGACAGTTCCAATGCCTCCAATTTTGTAGACATCCTGAAGTGGGAGACGAAGGGGCTTGTCTGAGGGCCTCTTGGGCTCCTGGATCATGTCCAGAGCGTCAAGGAGGGTTGGGCCCTTGTACCAGTCAAGGTTTGTAGACCTCTCAATCATGTTGTCTCCCTCAAAACCAGATATTGGGACAAACGGGATCTTGTCAGGATTGTATCCAACCTTCTTAAGATAAGAAGAAACTTCCTTCACGATTTCATCATATCTTGCCTTGGAATATTTAGGGGTTGTGGCGTCCATCTAAACAAGTTGAAACCAGGCGAAAAACAGTTAGTCCCTAACTCACATTAGAACATGCTGCAAGAACATACAAATTACTAGACTATTAGGCTAATGAGCCAACCTTATTGCAGCAGCATATCATCTGCTTCACACCAAGGGTGAAAGCAAGCAAAGCATGCTCACGGGTCTGACCATCCTTGGAAATACCGGCTTCAAACCCACCAGTGGTGGAGTCAATAATGAGGACAGCGCAGTCGGCCTGCGAGGTACCAGTGATCATATTCTTGATGAAATCCCTGTGTCCAGGGGCATCAATAACTGTGCAGTAATACTTGGTTGTCTCAAACTTCCACAGGGCAATATCAATAGTAATACCGCGCTCACGCTCAGCCTTGAGCTTGTCAAGCACCCAAGCATACTTGAATGACCTCTTGTTCATCTCAGCAGCCTCCTTTTCGAACCTTTCAATGACACGCTTGTCAATTCCACCAAGCTTATAGATCAAGTGTCCAGTAGTGGTTGACTTGCCAGAGTCGACATGGCCAATGACCACGATGTTGATGTGAAACTTCTCCTTACCCATAATGAAATCCTATAGAACTGCCAATAAGAACAACCTAAATTTTTTGAGTACATAATGAACACAAGATAAGCGAAGGCATATCGATGGAACTAGATAAATGTTAAGATTAAACTCAAAACATACAAAGTAACCAAAAAGTTCAAATTATCACATTTCAGAATGAATGGGAAGTATTTGAAAATAGGAAATCAGAAATGCGAGTCATCATAATTAATAACAAATAAACTGTAAAGAAGGCAACATTAAGACAACCTACTAACCTTAATATAAAATAGATGTGATGACAAGAATGAATGAAAGCACATCGTTGAGACAAAAAAAAAAAACACACTAAAAAACCATTGTCATGGTTCCAAGTCAAGATGAAAGTTCTATGACAGAACTTCTAAGCCATTAAATATGCAAGTATGTGTGGTTGTACACATGTATGGTGTGTTGAGTAGTGCAAGGAATTCTGTGATAGCATGCAAGCAAACCTTACAAAACATTTCAATTCTACTCTGGCAACATCAATTCCCATAGGAATAGGGTTAAATAAATAGACAAAAATTGATTCATACGTGACAATCAATTCCAGTGGTACCAGATAATGTGACATTAAGATTAGATGAAGATGATCCACTGTTCAAGCTCTCATTCCTAACAAGTAGTCAGTAATAATAACCACTCCAATATATTGGTATAAAATGGGGCTGTCTCCAATACATTTTCAGATGAATGAACTCTACAGTTATCCTTCTTTGCTGTTTCCAGAAATTAATCTTGTTTAAAAAAAGAATATTAAACTATCTAGAGTACCTTGCAAAAAATGTCCAAGCCCATGGTAATAATTGCAATAAGAAAATAGATTTTACTCACATACAACAGTATCCAATAGAACCATAAAGCTATATACACGGACACAGGCAATTCAATGATTAATTTTATGCACCTAAGACCTGCAAATTTGTTTATACTATAAAAACATTCAATAAGAGCATAATCAACTTCCATGGAAATTCGTGATTGAGTAATCCCTAGTATGAATTAACAATTAAGATCAGAAACAGGAATACAAAATCAAGACTCCAATCAGCAACGTTGACTCACTGAATATCAACCACCTATCAAAGATTCAACTCAGCAGCAAACTCATATCTATATAATTATCACGAATTTGTATGAACAGTAAACAAAATTCCAATAAATCCAGTGGTCAGACGACATTAGTATTCCAAACAACAGAAAATAATCAAATCATTCGATGACAAAACCCAGCAAAACCATAAAACAAACGAATCATTTAGTCAAATAACAAATCGTAGCAAACTCATCTACATAATCAACATGAAATTACAAAAATAGTATACAAAATTTCCAATAAATCCAGTGGTCAGACAAGATTAATATTCTAAAAAAAAGAGATAAAACATTAAATCATTTAAGAACAAAACCCGGCAAAACCATAAAACCGACAAATCCTTAAATCAAAACACAAATCGTAGTTCTAACCTTACTGAAGAAGAGAACGTAGCAGATAAAGAGAGAGACTTCTCTGAAACGCCAGCCGCAGCTAACAGAGCTGAACAAAACAAAGTAAATGAATCGGTAAGAACTCTAGGGTTTGAGGGGTTAGTGTACCAATTTATAGAGGGCAGACACAGATTGCTAGAGCAGCTCTTTGAGATGTTGAGCTATGGTTTTACTTAAATGCCCTTGAACATTACATTGATTTTTTTAATCCGGCTAGGGCTTCTCTCTGATATGTTGCCGGTATGGTTTTACTTTAATGCCCTTCAACGTTATATTGGCTAAATTATTTTACTTAGAAAAAAAATTATAAATTTCTAATATTTCTTGGCCAAAAAAATTCCAATAAAGTTTAAAATTACTTTATAAGGAAAACATTTTTGTTGAATAAGCATTATTAAGAATTGGCAAAAAATATTCAAATTAGAAATATGTTTAAATGATTAATAAAATAATATTTACCAATGTCCCTACCAAACCTACCATAAATAAAAAAGTTATAGTTAAAGTTTCGTCCCATTCTCCGTACATTACGAGCTCCACATCTCTTCCCCACTCTATTAAAATATATATTTTAAAGAAGATGAAATGAAAATAATAATTGAAGTAAAATTTTAATGCTTTGAAGTGATTTAGAATATTTTTGAGATATTTTGATATATTTTTCACAAATATTTTTAAATATTTTGAGATATTTTAACTAATATTTTTGAAAATATTTTGGTACCAAAATAGTGTAGCAGAACGAAATTTTGGATCCTGTTTGATTTGCATAAAAAAAAATAGTATTCGAAAATAATTTTTGAAAAGAGTTTTAGAAAAATTGTTTTGATGTTTCCTGATACGAAAAACTTGTTTGGTTAGATAATTCTAAAAACAGTTTTACAAAATAAAAAAAAAAATCTGTTTGGATTGACAATTTCATAAAAAATATTTTAATATATTAAACTTGATAAAATACAAAAAAAAAAAAAAAAAACCCAATCTCTGTAAAAGCAGCACAGTAATCATCTCCAAAAATTTGAAGCCAGATGCCCACCCAAAATAAAATAAAAAAAAAAGATATTGCGCCTATGATTCGCCGGAGCATAAGTGAAGAACTGGACTGAGCAAAGTTTAAGCAAATGACAGGGAAGGCGAAAAAAACAAAGCCTACCTTTTATACTTTGTGAAAAGTGAACAGTAGTGAATAGTGCCCATGACCTCTGTGTTTTCACAATTTCCAGGATAAAACTCAGAAAACAACCCTATCTTGTTTTTCTATTTCTTTCCTCAAAATCCTTTTTTTTTTTTGAAAATTTGAGAAAAAAAATACTAATCAAATTGATTTTGAGTGTTATTGAGATTTTGACAACAACAAACATGTTTGAAGATTCAACCAATCACCCCCTTGATTATTGCCTCTACATAGTAGGTTGAAATAAAATGTGATGAATTTAATTTTTAATTGGTGATTATAGATAGATTGAATTTAGTATCTAATGAGATATGTATAAACTAGTTATTGCTTGTGTCTGAAGGCACAAAATAATAAAAAATGATAAACAATAAACATATTTTTGATTTATATCTAAAATCAAATCACAAATATAGAAAAGAAATAAAAAAAATTGAGTATTGGTTTATAATAGAGGTGAGACGTGGTCAACAACAGTGGAGGTGGTAGAAAACTGTGATAATTATGGTGAGCGACAATGATTGGGGTGGCGGTGGTGGTGGTGGGGTAGAGGTAATGGTTGAACAATTTCAAACACTATTTTTTTTAAGTATTTAAGTATGTAAAAATAATTTTAAAAAATCACTTCAAACACACCTTTAGGGATTTATTTTTTTATTAAATTTAAGGTGTTAATTTTAGTCATTAAATTAATTTTAAAATAAAATTTAAAATAATATCAACCGTAAATAACAAAAATTATTTTGTTGATTTAAATTATAAATCACTATTTTACTATACAGATAAAATGGAGTTAGTAGTTTTTTTTTTGGTCACGTGGAGTTAGCAGTTTAAAATAATAAAAAAAGGTTGAAAAAGGAAACTTTCAACCTTATTTCTCTCCTCCCCTTATTTCTCTATCTGTTTCACCGATATCTCTACTCCCCTTCTCTTCCACCGTGGCCCAGTTCCAACACCGGCGGGCTCCGGCAACTTACTCTAAGGTTGATCTCTCTCACCCATCCACTTCGGCATAAACAAAATTCATTCTCTGCACACAAACATACACATCACACACCCCCCACCCTTCCTCCCCGTTCTTTCTTTCCCCCTTCCTGCACGCTCACACACCGACTGCACGACCATTTGGTATCACACCAAAATTTCAGAAGCATGGGATGACTTCAGATGTTTGACTGAAATTTGGGTAAAACTTCGTATCTTTTTTCTATGTCCATTTAGTCTATTTTGCTCTAGCTATGTTCTTGATTGAGACTTATTTTTGAATTTTTTCTGAACAATATTTGCATTAGGGTAAAGACATATTTTTGCAGTAAGGGATCTTGAAAATCATCTGTAATTTATGGTAATTAATGGAACTCACGAAGTGGGTTGAGATATACTGTGGTCATTCACCTTCGACTGGTTTAATTAAGTGTTAATTCATATAATTTAGTTAATGGGTCAGATCCTAACAATTTGACTGAATAATCCTGAATTTTGAGTTGGATTTTTCAATCATATGAGTTAGTCGAGTAGATGTGAGTTATTGGTAGTTCACCCGCAGTGCTCATCTGGTGGATTTTCTGATTATGTAAAGTTTTACTCTGAATTCATATCATCATCTTAGGATTATCGTCGAGTTGTTCTCAGAGGTTTTGGAAGCTTTTTTCTCTGATTATGCTTGAAAAAAAAAAATGTAATCCGTTCTCTTATGCTAGTGTTTTCATGAAGAAAAAAAAAAGTTAGTGTTCTGACTGGTACGTGTATAATGATTTATGCTTTCTCTGTTTTTTGCATAGAAATTGTGGCAGACAAATTAGTTAGAAAGTTAGAATAGGAGTATACCTTGCCATCAAGTTTGAAATTGTTTTATCGTCTTTTTTTTTGTTCTTTAAAAAGAATTTAGAGCAGCAGTCCTAACTCCTATTCCTTCCTGGAGGCATATTTACAGTAACAAACCATAAATTTTAAAAATACCTTTTTAGATCATAGACTCCCCACTTCCTTCCTTTCTTCTTTATATTACAATTCTCCTTTTCTCCTTTTCTCCTTTTCTCCTCTTCTAATTAATTCTCCTCCTATGCAGTCATTACTCAGGCCATCTCTGTCCCCCGTAAACTCTCACTTCTCTTTCGTCGTCAACAAGTGAAACTCTCACTAAGATCGCCTTTAATCAGAAATTAGAGCCTCACTCTCAGTAACAATTCACCTCTCTTCAAGAAAAGGTGAGTTTTCATCATTACTTCAAATAATTTGGATTTCTCGGAACATCAGTCGCCGCCGCTGAGTAGAAATTGCTGTTTCAAATTTTATAAATTTCCATGTACTTCTAGTGGAAAGTATTGTTTGGGCTTCTGGAATTGGGGATGGAAATGAAGCATAATTCTGTGTGTATGTGATTGTTGGATCCCTTATTATGAGGAAATATGATCATTCAGTACTATGTAGCCAGAATTTAAACCCGAGATTTATGCATTTTGTAACCTTTCTTCTACCCCATTTTGGGAATTTAAGAAGGGCAGTAAATGGGTTAGAGTAGTTCGGGTTCTGATTAATATGGAATTAGCTCGTAGAGATTGTTTCCGATGTTTTTGCTCCAATACAAGCTCTGTAAGGCAATTGGTTTCTGTGCGACCACCCCATATCTATCTTCCTCACTCGAAAATAGTCTATGATCATTCACGTTTGCCCTCTGGATCCAATTACTCTATTGTTTCTTGTTGTTTGCACCTTATAAACAATACATTGAACTCTATACACCTGTCAACTCGGACCCATTTCACTACTCCTGCCAAGAACCTTTCAAATGCATTTTGTACTAGATACATGCTTGTTTTGCATTATTCTTCGTGCCCAAGAGGACCCCCAACAAGGTCCTTGAGAAGAAGAATTAGTAAACGACGAAAAGCTGCCAGCAAACCTGTTCTCAATGAAGCCCAATTTCAGCTGGCCATGTCCCAACTCCCACCAAGATTCACTGCAGAAGAACTCTGCAATGTCCTAACTATGCAGGAAGACCCTCTGGTGTGTTTAGAGCTATTCAACTGGGCATCACAACACCCCCGGTTTAGGCATGATGTCTCCACTTATCACATTACAATAAAGAAGCTTGGTGCAGCAAAAATGTACCAAGAGATGGATGATGTTGTTAACCTAGTGCTGGCTGTTCCTTCTCTTGGATCTGAAGCTCTTTACAACACGATGATATACTACTTCACGGAAGCTCGGAAATTGACTAGAGCTGTTAACATATATAACCACATGAGAAATAGCAAGAATATAGATTGTAGGCCTTCGGTTAGAACATGTAATCTTCTCTTTGCTGCACTTCTGAGTAGGGGGACCAATTCCTACATAAACTACATGTATATGGAAACTATTAGAAGCCTATTCAAGCAAATGGTCAGCGATGGGGTTGAACCTGATGTTTTCGCCTTGAATTCTATGATAAAAGGGTATGTGCTCTCCCTTCATGTTAATGATGCCCTCAGAATATTTCATCAGATGGGTGTGGTCTATAACTGCCAGCCCAATTCATTCTCATATGACTATCTGATCCATGGGTTGTGTGCCCAAGGCCGAACAAACAATGCAAGGGAGCTGTGCACTGAAATGAAGAAGAAAGGATTTGTCCCTAGCAGTAAATCATACAACTCCATTGTGAATGCTTTGGCTCTTGGTGCAGAGGTTGAGGAGGCAGTGAATTTTTTATGGGAGATGGATGAAAACCAAAGGTCAGTTGATTTCATCACCTATCGGACAGTCCTTGATGAGGTCTGCCGGCAACAAAGGTTTGGAGATGCCATGAGTTTGCTGAACAAGCTGCAAGAGAAGGACCTTATGGATGGGCATACTTATCGGAAGCTTCTATATGAGCTTGAAGATAACTTTGGAAATTCAAATGAGAGAAGTTGATTCAGGTATGAAGTGTTGGAATTCCTTCAGTTCTGTACTCCTGGAATGTAGAGATGTTTCTACTTTTTTTAATACTGTTGTACTTTTGAAACTTCCAGGATAACAGATCCATTTAATGGAGTATATCCTGTTGGAATTTGGGGCAAAGAATAATTGTCAAATGCCTAGTTTTTGGCACAATTAGAACCTTTTTTTTAAATGGTAGACTGTATTTCTATTTTAGCAAAGAATATACTGTGAGTTTCTTATGAAATTTGTAATGCCATAGTTGGATGTGTTTATGAGCCAGTTGAATATTGATTCCTGCTGCTGCTTATTTATTGGTTGCTACTTTTGAGCTTGTCACTCTGGGCATGTTTCACTCCTGTCACATGACTATATATATTATCTCATTAATTTCCCCCCCCCCCTCACCCCCCTCCCCCTCCCCCTCTTGGGCACACTTCCCTTGGTAGAATTTCTGTTCCTACTGAATCAATTTTTGACTTTCCCTATTGGCTAATCAGGGGCAAGGGGCGTGGAGTCACTTAAAACATTTGTTTTGGTTGAAGTGGAAAAGGCAGCTGCAAAAGCAGAGTTTGTCAATGACAAAGATTTGTGATTATCTGTTATGTATATACTATAGACTTGATCTATCGATTTGGTTAACTACTTTGATAAGCAAGAGCGGTTTAAAATTGCGCTAGAGTATGAGCATGAAATGCTGTCTAGAAATCCATTTTCATCTTTATCTTATATGAGTTTTGATTGTATAAAAATTGGCTAATAGGAAATTTGACTTCCAATCTGGTGCAGTTTTGGTGGAAGCAGTAGAACAGTCAGCTCTTGACTGCGAAACCAGGAAAACACAGAAGTTTATTTTATGCTCAACCATTACTAGCAAGTTAGTAGATAGTTTGGCAATGTCATCTTTTCTTTTGTGATTTGTTGTCTTGTGTAAATTAGGATGCTTGAGCATGCAAGATGATATTAAAACAGAATAGCTAGTGTTTGAGGGCGTTTATTTGTATCAAATTACTTAATGTACAATCTTGTCAACATGAAATTTTGAGACTATTTTTGCGGAGATTACTATTTGTTATTTCATTAAAGGCCATGTTGAACATTTCAGGTAATTTGCAGATAGTGTGATTTAGGAATTGGATACTATTATTACAAGGCTGACACCGTGAAGCTACACTTGCAATGCTGGCGGTGGTCTCTATTTTGAAAAGATTGATCAATTCTTTTACTCACAAAAAACATGTTCGCCTTTCACAACAAAGTGAATTGTTTTCCCACAACAAACTATTACTCATCTTAGTGCTATAACCCCAAATCAACAAATGGGATGTGGGCTGGAGCTTCCACCACTGCTCATTAAGCAACCTGGTTCACACCAAGTTGCTCAATTCCTCTACTATCCTCACTAGTAAGGTCAGAGAATCGTGATGAAAGCTTCCAGAGCCATACTCAAAAATGCTCAAATGACCAAAACAAAGTCGAAAATAGCAACAGCAATTAACAGCATTCAGACCATCCATGAAAAATCTAATCCGAAACACTTTTCATTTAGCACCTTTCTTTGCTGCGGCCTTGGTGACCTTGGCGCCAGTTGGATCCTTCTTGTCAACACTCTTGATGACTCCAACAGCAACAGTTTGCCTCATGTCCCTAACAGCAAAACGACCAAGAGGTGGATATTCAGAGAATGTCTCCACCACCATGGGCTTGGTGGGAATCATCTTCACCATACCAGCATCACCATTTTTAAGGAACTTGGGCTCCTTCTCAAGCTCCTTGCCAGATCGTCCGTCAATCTTGGTCAAAAGCTCAGAAAACTTGACAGCAATATGGGAGGTGTGGCAGTCAAGAACCGGGGCATAACCATTGCCAATCTGACCAGGGTGGTTCATGATGATAACCTGAGAGGTGAAGTTGGAAGCCTCCTTAGCAGGATCATCCTTAGAATTAGAAGCAACATATCCACGCTTAAGATCCTTGACAGCAACATTCTTCACGTTGAAACCAACATTGTCACCTGGCAGGCCCTCCTGAAGAACCTCATGGTGCATCTCAACAGACTTAACTTCAGTTGTCAGACCAGTGGGTCAAAGGTCACAACCATACCAGGCTTCACAACGCCAGTCTCAACACGTCCGACTGGGACAGTTCCAATGCCTCCAATTTTGTAGACATCCTGAAGTGGGAGACGAAGGGGCTTATCTGAGGGCCTCTTGGGCTCCTGGATCATGTCCAAAGCATCAAGGAGGGTTGGGCCCTTGTACCAGTCAAGGTTTGTAGACCTCTCAATCATGTTGTCTCCCTCAAAACCAGATATTGGGACAAACAGGATCTTGTCAGGATTGTATCCAACCTTCTTAAGATAAGAAGAAACTTCCTTCACGATTTCATCATATCTTGCCTTGGAATATTTAGGGGTTGTGGCATCCATCTAAACAAGTTGAAATCAGACAAAAAACAGTTAGTCCCTAACTCACATTAGAACATGCTGCAAGAACATACATATTACTAGACTATTAGGCTAATGAGCCAACCTTATTGCAGCAGCAAATCATTTGCTTCACACCAAGGGTGAAAGCAAGCAAAGCATGCTCACGGGTCTGACCATCCTTGGAAATACCGGCTTCAAACCCACCAGTGGTGGAGTCAATAATGAGGACAGCGCAGTCGGCCTGCGAGGTACCAGTGATCATATTCTTGATCAAATCCCTGTGTCCAGGGGCATCAATAACTGTGTTGTCTCAAACTTCCACAGGGCAATATCGATAGTAATACCACGCTCACGCTCAGCCTTGAGCTTGTCAAGCACCCAAGCATACTTGAATGACCTCTTGTTCATCTCAGCTGCCTCCTTCTCGAACCTTTCAATGACACGCTTGTCAATTCCACCAAACTTATAGATCAAGTGTCCAGTAGTGGTCGACTTGCCAGAGTCGACATGGCCAATGACCACAATGTTAATGTGAAACTTCTCCTTACCCATTCTCGACCGTCAACAAGAAATCTGCCATGAAAATAAAATCCAAATTAAACAAGTGGGCAAGAAACTATATCATCTAGACAATTGATAAGACAGCCAATTACATTAAACAAATATCAGCATGACATACTATAGACCAGCACCAAAGTTCCAAATGCTAGTAAAAATTTATTTCGTCAAAAAGGAAATAAAAGGGTGAGGAACATCACCATGCAAGTCTAATAAGGTAACTGGTAGATGAGCAGAATTTTCATTTGTAAACACCAACATCATAAATCTAGCAACCATGTGGTAAGTTGAGCTTTTGCAAAAATTCACACAAAATGTATTTCGTGTGGCACGCATCAAGATGATTCTAGTTCAAGATCGTCCAATAACATACTCCAGAGTGAGATCACACCCACCCAGTCAAATTTGAAAGAGAAGATAAGTCAGAATTGATCAGAAAAAGAGAAAATTTAGATTTGATCAGCACATTTGACCAATATTTACAGAACTTTGACACAAATTTTGGCTATTAAATCGTCATATGACACTCGACTAAATGGACAGGCTCTACCGTAAATTCATGGCTACAACAGATCGACCCCTCGTAGCCTTTTCAAATTGTATATACCACCAGTCAATCATATGGATCTAAATTAGTAAGTTCAATTGAAGAATCCGGTCCAAATAAAAAAAAAACTTAAAAACAAAAACATTCTGATTAACACAATAATCAAGTATCACAATCCCCGACTGAAATTGAGATGAGTTGTTATGTGTGCGCTCTGCGGAGTCAAAAATAGAAAGAATAGCGAAAACAAGTTCGTATCGAGAATTTCCAAAGATGTATTCTACATAATTCCAACTAGACAGTAGACACAAAGATGAAATCACATGCTTATACAGAATTCAGATCAGCCCATCCATAGCAGCGAAAAATTTATCAGCTAAGATTAACAGATCCACTAACTACGTACCAAAACAGCTCCAATGCAAACAGAAACACATACACATAAGAATAGAATAGAATCAAATGAAATCAGAGGAGACAGACCTTTCGGAGATGAAGTGAACCGAAGACTCAGGGAAAGCTCTCTCGCTCGCCGACCTGAGAGAGAGAGTGTGTGAGGAATGAGGGTGGAAGTCATAAGGGTTTATAAATGTGGCAATAGTGGTGGTGTGTGGTTAGGGTTTTTCTGAACCGTTGGATTGAGTGATTTGACGGTTGTGAAGAAGAGGACTCCCACTTACTTGCTGTCGTGCTTTACCTAATCTGTTTTTCCTCTGTTTATTTCCTGGAGCCCTCTGACTGAAAGTGCGAAGAAGCCTAAATTAATCGTTAAATTTGAAGAATTGAAAAACAAAAATTCCAGAGAGGGAGAGAACGAAGAGCGAGGAGAATAAAATAAAATTTAATATGAATGAGTTTGAATGGATTGGATGATAAATATATTAAAATTTGTCATATTTTATATTATAGATCTTTAAATTACAAAATCACCCTTATAAGATGCATTTTGAACATAATTTATAACTACTAATATATAAATTAATCATCAATACGTTAATTAGCTCGTTAATTATAATTTTATATAATTAAGAATTATTCAAAAAAATTCAAATAAATAAATGAATCTCTAATATAAATTTTTTATAACAAGAAGATTGCATATAATATAGGTCATATTTTCAGTAATATCTAAATAATGTAATAAATTGGTAAAATAATATATATATATATATATATATGTATGTGTGTGTAATTAAGCATGTGACAAATGAGTGAGAATACAAGCGTGACAAGTGCAAATATTTTTGTTAAAAAATAAAAAAAAAATATTTTACTTGGATAAAGCATGGACATATAGCATGGTTACCTCACCAATGATGTGAGGAGGGTCAAGTTGGCTATAAATAGCCATGAGTAGAGGCAACGGACAGAGCAAAGGAAGATAAAGAGATAGAGGAAGGAAGAGAGAGATCGAGAAAAAGGGCAAAAAAAAGAAGAAAGAGAGTTAAGAGAAATTTGTCAAATTTTGGGGTTAAAAATTAAATAATAATTTTATTTTCGATCGTTATCAAATTAAAGTGTTTTGTTGAGGGTATTTTGAATTTCTTATCTATTGAAGTTATTAATGATTTTGAAGTACGTGATAGTATATAATATGCTTCTGTCTTTTAAAATCTCTTTGTAAAGAATATCTTTTTATTATCTAAAATTTGTATTCTTATTGATTATTCTGATTGATACGAAATTCTGTCAATTTTATTGATTGACCTGTATTTTGGGCTAAATACTTTGAAATTGATCGATACATATATAAAGTGTACTTAGGGCATAGTTGGTAAAATATGATTACAACAATGCGGGGTATGATTGTAATTATTGTCCTGCAGGGTGTGATTGGTTAGTATGAGTATGAATTTATATGCCTAGGTATCACTTGTCACGTCACCAAGGGAAACCAAATATGAGGTTATGTTTGATAGCTAGTGAGCTATGCGGCCTGTCGAATGTGATTATTGATTTTGTTATTCATGATCTTTATCATCTAAATTAATTGGTATTTAGTCATTCATATTTTTTTCGTTGAGCATATTGTTTCCTGTCATATTGTATATTTTCTCGCCTTTAATATTTTTTTTCATGATGATCTCGGAGGGAATGATCAGAGTTGATATTTGAGGGATCAAAGATTGACAAATCTTGATATAATTTTTAAATTTTTATTGATATTTGGAGATCAAAATTGTGATTATAAATTTATTGAGAGCAATGTTCCTATATTCGGAGATATTTATGATTTATTGTGATCGATTGATTTAATCAAGTAACGCGTCTTGGAAACGGGACTTGATAAACCCTTTTAATGATTATAGGTATGGCGTCGTGAGATGACTTTGATATGACACATAATAACATGGGCTTCGAGGCAACCAATGAGTACCGAAATCTTAGAGTCAATGTAGAGGCCTATGATCTGATAGTCCGCGAGATTCAAGATGTGTCCCAAAATTGACTGTTCATGCCAATTTCTGAGCAGAAAAGATTAGTACATCACAGATTGACCTCGCAGCTGAGGGTGGTCCACCAAGCGCTAAGTATCGAAAGGAACCACAACTTGTATCAGAAATTTTGAATGGATTGTCAATACAAGATATTTAGTGCTCACTTTGTAGGTGCTAATGTGGGATAGCTAGTAGAATCTCCTGACTTGAACATTAATGAAGAAGTTGACCCACAACCTAACGACTCTAATGTAGCCCCTGCAGTTGCACCACTCGAAGCAAACCATCGTGCAACTTCTGCAGGTTCTGCGAATGTGTCTCTAAGGGAAGAGACATGAAACTTCTTGGTTCGTAATTGTACCATCTGTATTACTATTCTAAGAAATTTTGTTTAGTAGTAACTCTTGGATTAGTGAAGATATATATATAACTACATGACTTAGAAGTGACTATCCTAATACATTTTGTTTCCTATCCTAGATGCCACTCACATGGAAAACAAAAGTCTAGGATAGTCACTTCTAAGTCATGTAGTTATATATATATATATATATATCTTTACTATTCCAAGAGTTATTACTAAACAAAATTTCTTAGAATAGTAAGACCGACGGTACAATTAGGGACCAAGAAGTTTCATGTCTCTTCCCCTGGAGACACATTCGTTGAACCCGCAGAAGCTGCACGATGGTTTGCTTCGGGTGGTGTGGCTGCAAGAGCTACATTGGAGTCGTTAGGTTGTGGGTCAATTTCTTCACTAATGTTCAGGTCAGGAGATTCTACTGGCTATCCGACATTAGCTCCTGTAAGTGACTACTGAATATCTTGTATTGACAATCCATTCAAAAATTCTGATACAAGTTGTGATTTCTTTCGATACTTAGCGCTTGACGGACCACCCTTAGCTGTGAGGTTAACCTGTGAATCTGTGATGTACTAATCTTTTCTGCTCAGAAATTGGCATGAACGGCCAATTTTGGGACACATCTTGAATCTCGTAGACTATTAGATCATAGGCCTCTACATTGACTCTAAGATTCCGGTACTCATTGGCTGTCTCGAAGCCCATGTTACTATGTGCTGTATAAAAGTCATTCCATGATGCCATACCTATAATCATTAAAAGGTTAGCTCTGTTGTAAAAATAATAATCTGTCCATAATAAATAACAAATCATGCTCAATATTAGTAAATTAACACCACTATTTATTCTGACCAATCTCTCTCTCTTTTTTTTTTCTCTCTCTCTCTCTCTTTATATATATATATATATATATACAGTACTAATAAAAGTACCTTAACATGAAAATTTTTTAATTCTCTATTTTACCCTTATAAAAAATTATAAAGACTACTCATTCCTTTCACAATTAAATATCTAAATTATCTATTATTTTCTTATGTATTTAAATTTTTAAATTACCTCTAATATCTCTTTTAATTATCTATTCTCTCTATATAAATATCAATTTCTATGAAACTTTTTTATTGACTGTATTATATTTCAAAAATATGCATCATTATATTTTGGAAGAATTACATCTAAACCCCTTGAGGTTTGTCACTTAATCACTCAGAGCTCTTGACCTTTGAAATATTATACACAGACCCCATGAGGTTTGTATGCGCGTAACACTTAGACTCCTGTTATAAATATATCTGTTAATAAATTACACTTAAACTCCCCTAAAGTTTGTGGGTATATAATATTTAGACCCTTTAAATTTAAAATATTATACTTAGATAAAATACTCCAATCAAATGTAAAAATAAAATATTTTAAATTTTATAACTAAAAATAATGTTCTATTGTATCATTTATTGAAATAAAATTTTAATTTTTTCTTAAAAAAATCGTAATTAATATATAATTAAACTATCTATTGGAATAAAACTAAAAAAAATCAAACAATGGGTCTAAGTCATTCGTAATAGAACATGAATTTTACATCCAAAATTCATGTTCTATTATGTCATTTATTGAAAAAAAATTAAAATTAAAAATTTAT